ACTGTAATATCTGCCTGTTCTTCACACTGGTGTACTGTAATATCTGCCTGTCCTTCACACTGGTGTACTGTAAGATCTGCCTGTTCTTCACTTTGCTGGACTGGTTTGTGGTTCRCCTCTTGCATACTTTGCTGCTCGTCATTTTGCGAAACGATTTCTAGCCCATGATTTTCAACAACACGATCTTTTTCAACGAAAGTAGTCAGTGTGGAGATGGGAAAGACTTTATTTCGAGGATTACAGCCAGGTAGCAGTTTCAAGACAGCATCTCTGAAGCGGTCACTTCTCCAGGCATACACAAGTGGATTAATTGATGACGAGCAGCACATTATAGTAAAGCATATCTCTACCGCTAGTTTGCTTGTTGAATCAATCATCAGTAAGATGGTAATTGGTARGAAACTCAGTACAAACGATCCAACGATCAAGGCGGTTGTCATAGAGGCTCGGTTATCAGATTTGATTCGTGCAGCATGTCCATAGTTGAAAGCAATGGACTTTGCCTGACTTTTTATTTCGATCTTCCTTTTTCTCGCAACCATGAAGATCTTGCAATACATAACAATAAATACCACGACTGCGGCTATGCGGATGTGTGACGTCAACACTTTGAAGTCGGTGAAGGTGCGTAGAATCCCCTCAACCACTGATAGTACCCAAGCTCCAATGATGATTTTTATAATCTTTTCTTTCGACAGTATGGAATGAAACTTCAAAGGGAAGTATACAGCGATGAGGCGATTTGTTGTCATCACGAGGAGACTGTTTAGCGATGCATACAGCGAGATTGAAGTGACCACAAAGTACACCATCTCAAAGTTCTTGTTGGAGTACCCGTTTAAACTCAGGATATAGACGGGTTGTGTGAACATACACACTAACAAATCTGCAATAGTTAGGCTTATAATGCAAAAGTTCGCGCCTACTTGAAGAAATGTATTTTTCCAAACTGTATAACACACTATCACATTGCCAAGAGCACCGAAAATACAAAAAAGACTATTAATCAAAGACAGGGTGACGATGACAGCTAGTCCTAACTGCCCTTCCAAAGAAGAACGATCTGTTGCCATCGTAACAAGATCAAGTGATATAGTACACGAAGGTTAGCGTTTGACTGGCTAACTCTAGGTTACACTATTAGTTGTCTTAGTTGTCATGCCATGTTAACCGCATCTACAAAGCAAATGTTAAAAAGCCTTTAGTTGCAGTATATATTGCAACGTTTAGTTGCATCTGGAATGTCGATGGCAAAAAGACTGTCGACATTATGATCTTTATGGAAATGAACGTCAAAAAATTGCCAGGCAATCTGGACATGAAATGTGTCGACTGAAAGAGAATATATTGACACGGGTAAAAATGGGAAAATAGCTATTTTAATGCATAATTTCTCAAAACAGTTTTAAAAAGTATTCAGTCTTTATACCGTACACCGACTTTTGAAGTAACATTGGAACAATCAATAACGTTAGTAACATTTTTAGTAACATTCTCTTATTTTGAAACATATCCTTTCGGTCAGTCAGTGCCAAAAAAAAGAAAGTTTGTCCTATGTCGAGCAATTGATATCGTCAATTTTACATTTCACCCAGCGATGAGTCCTTGTTTGTGGTTCAGCGAGAAATAAACTGCATTGTCAGTGATTAAGTCATCTTTTAAAAACATTATGGCTGTCGTTGTACGTCTACAAACAACAACAACAACAACAATTATGCGAACTTACTTTTCCATCCCGCAAACTCTCGTACGATCCAGAAAAATCAACCTACATCGCTTATGGACAAGTGCACGACTAAAGCGTTAAGAACAGACCTTGATGAATAAAAGAACAAGTTCATTAAGGGRAAGTATGGAACAATGTAACCAGGAAAAAAAAATCACCGTTGAAATCGTGGGTGATAAAGAATTGAATATATTTGCTAAACTAAGCAAATGGCACTTCGTTAGCGGTTTTCGTTAACTATCGTCGAAACTTTTTGATTCTTAGATAGTTCTCTACTTTACGTTTTACCGCAAACTGTGTCAAATCAAAATATTGGACATCCTTTCCACGATGTGCACATGCACTATAAAGTTTTATCAATCTATTAAATCTCACTTTTGCCGGAACACTTCACCGAGGGACACCTGCATCACCTGCATGAACGATAAAACGTTTTACCTGCAAAGGGCAATAATGTTGTTCCAGGAAATTTTGATCGGTTTCTAAAATTGCTGCATAATCATAGTTCTCCATTAATTTCTTTTTATTTATGACAAAATATAATAGCGTTAAAACGCGAGGCAGAATGATGAACAATAGCTTTGTATTCAATAYAACAAATGATGGACCACAATTAGAAAATCAGACATTATCTTTTCTAATCACGTCAACAGCAAACGAATATGACAAGTATGATCATGAACATCAAGTAAAACCACTCGAAAGAATTATWTTGAATGTGTATGGATTTACATCCATAACACTTTGTATTATATCTTGAGATACCATATCAGCGCCATAGAACCATATCTTCAATAGCGCTTGTTGGGCTTGGTATCACAAAAGAAAACCTTATAAAGTGATTTCATTATACCAGTGAAAGCGTTAGCTGTCAGTCAATGTAATAAAATTTCACTCTTCTAGAAAAATAAGGCAATAACGGACGTGTAAATCATTATAAAAAAGGAAAAAATATAAACCTTATATTAAATCCCAATGGGTTGAATGGCCTCTACAGCAGCATTTAGACACTCAACAACAACAGAGATTTGTTTCTCAACTTCGATCCATTTTCCGTTATTCTGGGCATCAAAAATGGCGTCATTGATGCCAGGAAGACTGGAAACTCCATACGAATTGTGCATTTCAGGMGCAAAAAGAACATGCTTGACGAGTCGTCTGCCATAAAGACCATCAGGATGGATGAATGACTTTTCTACCTGTGAACAAGAAATTGCAAAACTGAATATATCATATACTTCAGTCTTATGTCTAATTGTCTGCATTGTCTAATATCTGTATGGATAGTAAAGCTACAAGTTCTAATCTAAGGGATTTAGTGATTTTTTGACGTAAGCCAGCCCGACCAACACCGCTGATTTCGCTTATTTACACGTTTTGACGAGCACAACCCAGCTGGACAATCAACTCACTAAACCGGACTTAGCACCTGAATGAAACTTAAAGTCATGCTTACAGTCTGCATACTTTAAATGTGTTTTCCTCATACACGTCCAATGTTGTGTATTTTACTCATCATACTAAATTCTGATATCATACATATACTGRTGTATACTCCACTTTTTACCTGGACAAGTTGGTCATTGATTCGTCGTAACTCAGCAAAACTCATTACATCCTGCTTTTTCCTGGATTCATCCAACATSTTGCCAAAATGATCAGCGGCTTTCATGAAGTTATTTATTGCTTCTTCAAGGTGTTTGAGGGATATGCTTTGTTTCTTGAGGTGTTGGTTATCTTTCAGAGAATAGAAGGAGCTGTTTAACTTGGTAGTATATTCCAGTAGATTGAATGGTAAGAGTCGAGCATCTGCTACTTCAATCAACAGAGAACCGCCAAGTTGTGCTACAGCTTTATGAAACAGAAATTCAGGATCGACAAATGTTTTCACCCAGTAATATGTGTCATGTTGGGTATGGTAGACTGGATACCCAAATGTTTTATTGTTAAAACCGAAAGAGTATCCCAAGTCAATCACTGGAACACCAAYATAGTGATAAAAATGAGCAAAATCACTTCCAGATCCAATAAGACTGTATTTAGCTTTTTTGTCTGGTGATGGATTTCTCTCAGCCATTATATCATAAAGTGTTTGCTTATCGTCATGCGCATTAGGGTCAGCCACGATTTTCTCCTCTGACGTCACGGCATCTTTRAGCAATGGACTTCCGGCAACGCGCAAGACCCAGTTTCCTGAAACAGCACYATCTAWGTTGATATAAGTGATGGCTTTAAGGGCAAGGTCTTTTACGTGCTCCTCGACAAATTCTACTGAGCCAATCAAAGAGTATTCCTCTCCTCCCCARCTACACATGATGATGGTTCTACGAGGACGCCAGTCTTTTTTCAGTAGCCCACCCAGTCCACGCGCGATTTCTGTGGTCGCCGTAGTACCACTGACGGCATCAACTCCGCCAAATATCCATGAGTCTCTATGATTTCCCATCAAGACATAGCGGTCAGGTTCTTCTTTTCCATATATAGTACCGATGACATTGTAAATGGAGGATAAGGTGTAATTGTTGTGAACTTCTAATTTAACTTTCATTCCTTGAGCGAATCCTGGCCCGAGTCGATAGGTGATGTTAAGAGAACCTTTCCAGTCTTCTGGCACTGTATCACCTGAAATGATGAGTTATGTTGTCTTGGCATATTGCATTTAAAAGAAAATAAATCAAACAATAAAATAACAAATTAAAGCAAAACGAAAACAACAACAAACACACACAAAACAACAACAGCAACAACAACAACAACAACAACAACAACAACAACAACAAAACAGAACCGACGCTTTGAGCCTCCCTAGGTAGGCCCGTAGGCTGCCTTACAAACTGGGGGTGGGGATGGTAATTCGGACCTAAATTAAATGTTTAACAAAATTGGTTCAATGCACAGGTATAGCGTGTAAGAACGAGCTGCTAGAATGAGCAGTCCATAAAAAATATAATCTCAAAAATAGTTGTAGATCTGAAACTCTTATTCGTGAGTCTGGTATAATTACTATTTTGTTGTGTTATTGGGCTGTCTGACTCACATATTTCTGTTTCTTCTCGACGTTTCGACGCCATTCTGGTCGTCATCCTTAGGATTTTGATTGAATCTTGGTTATATCGTGGTATAACCAAGATTCAAAACGTCGAGAAGAAACAGAAATATGTGAGTCAGACAGCCCAATAACACAACAAAATAGTCAAAAATAGTTCATAACAAAAGGGGGGGGTTGTCTGAACCCCCCAGCCTACCGGCCTGCCTAGGTTAACCCCTCAGTAGCAACAAACAATGATCTGATATTGTACCTTGAAGCTTCGATAGAAAATGAATTGCATCTCCATATGACATCGGGTGTGCAGGGATACTAGGCAGCTCACTCTCGTTAATGGCTCTGCGGTATATACCTGGTATAGCAGGACGTCCTGGGGTTAGAGGATCGCCCACACCATGAGCGGTGTAAATGGATCCTCTCTGCACACCAGTAGAAGGAAGGAATGGTGTTTTAGGGAAAGTTTTGTCGGGACCCAAAGGAGCATAGTCTTGCGGGTCAGAGTAGATAATGGCACCAATTGCTCCGTATGTTGCCGCGTTGTGCACCTATTGAAACAAGAACCAATTTTAACGAGTTTTAAAAACGAAAATTATGGACTTCGAGGTAACAATTTTAAATCCGAACACCATCGCTAATTAATATTTTGTTAAAAACCTTGTCTCCTCTGAAGATCTTCCCATATCTAACAATGACAATCTTTCCAGTCACTGACACGTTCAGCTTGTTCACAAGGTATTGAAAGTCTTCGATACGGCCGTAGTTCACGTACACCAGGTCACCCTCAACCGTYCCACTAGGGGAGTAGCCCAGCAATGGTGGCACCACATCTGTATCATTTTCGCTCTTTTCAGCGATCTATAATGAATGAGAAGCATGATCTTTAAAGGCTCGGAAGAATCTTTAGTACGAGCAGATTTCACCGAATCTCTCTCCCCAACTACCCAAAAGGGATTTTACCCTTTGAGCGTCGGCAAAAAAAAAAGAGATGAAACTCAGCTACAAACCTTCGGCTTCCCAGTAGTTTGAAATGCTACTGTTCCATTTTTATATTTCAGCGAAACAATGTTCCGTTTTCCAATTTGTGGAAATGACAGCAATACTTTGTACTCTCTCATCTCAACTTTGTTGAATCCATATTCACGCCATCGTTTAACCAACTCTTCTGCCAATTCTTTCTGACGTTTGCTTCCTGCTATGTGAGGACGCTTTGAAAAGAACCTGTGAAAAAAAAGAAAGAAAAACAAAAAAATAAACAACAACAAACAGCAACATCAAACAACAAAACAAAAAATTAAACGTCGATATTATCAGATTATAAATTAAACTTCAGTTAATGTCACATTTTGCCACCAAAAGTTCGACCTGCAGGGTCATGCATGTCAGACTRTGCAAACAGTTTGATCGACGAGAAAAATAACCAAAGTCCACCATTATTTACTCAGGATTTTTGGCATTAATGAAACAAAAAGTTTTGATTGACTTGAAATTTCGTTTAAARTTGAGCAGGATTAAACTACCCTTAAGGTTAACTGATAATTATTCAATATCGGATCAATGTGCATGTTGCGCAAACCTCGCTGTTTGATCCATTTTCTCGGCATCCATTGAATCTCGTAGATTTTTCTGATGTTCTTTCCTSGTTGCTTCCGAATTGGCCACATGATGTTCAGATTTCTGTCCTGAATCTGCCTTTTGCGTCTTGCCGATGAAATATCCAATAACAATACCAATGACAAGTAGGACCACCAGCACAAGGATTGCGGCAATGCAGCGACATCTTCGCTTCTTTTTGGTCTTTCTATAATGTAATTCTACGTCATCATGTTCCATTTTGACTGGATGTCTTTGTAACAGAAAAGCAGACACGATAGTTGTGTTTGGAAATACTATAGCATAAATCAGAGTCTGATCAAATASAGGCGCACCCTGAATACTTTGTATTCTAATGAGGACTCTGCATGGTTCGATGGTTTATGTAAATGTTAACCTCGAGAACTAACAAAATACCACGCATGAGTACATGGCGGCCACATAATTTTGCATTTATTCGTGYAACTTTCTCACTTCAAATTCAGTTTTTTAATGCAATTTTCACGGTTTGASGGMATTACTTAACTTTATCATACTGATCAATAATTTATGAGAATCAGTAATCATGAMCGTGAAAGAATTTGCATATACAACAGAATCGTCTTGATTTGCATATTCTTAGCTTGGATTAACTTTCTTTATCATATAAGTCACATAAAATAATTTTTTGTCTTATAATTATCATTTCTCAATCAAGTTTTATCAGTATTAATGGTAGAAATGTAGATTGACAATGTCATAGAGCTGATTCTGTCTGTACAAGATTAGCTGATTGATCATTAACACCATCCTCATTTGCTATTTTGTCTTGCTCCTCTGATGGTGGTAAGCTCTGCAAAAGCATCTTGGGTCCAGCAAGAGTAATTCCTATTGCACCAACTGGAGAAGTGACAAGAATAGACAGCACAGCAATTGTAAGAATCTGAAATAATTTAAGCAAATAATTAAAATATGCATCTAAATCATACTTATTTTCAACAAATATTAATGCATTTAGCACCTGTATTCCATAAGTCTCTTGATAACTTCCTTCAAGTCCTGCATGCCGAGCTGTGTCTAAAGAAACAGATCCTATGGCAGCCTAAGAAATTAAGATATTTTAGAGACTATGAAATTCCGTTTTCCATCTTTGAATTTGAGACTAACCTGCACAGTTGCTTTAGGAAGCCAAGAAATTGCAATGAATATTTTCTCTTTTAAAGTCAAATTATTTCCAGCAAGAACTATGTAAGTTACAATAAGTCTGAAAAACAACGATACTGCCAGTATACCAAAACCAATGCCTGCAAAAGAACATGAAAGCTGCCAKTTCTTTTGYGTAGGAAAAATATGTTTTTTTTCATTTTCCTGATTCAATCATGTCTTGTAATACATTAACACCTATACTCAGAAACATCAGATGTACCTATAAGATTTTTCTCCATGTACTGTATGCTGACTTCAGCACCAACCAATCCAAAAAGCAGTGGTTCAAACAACATCCAGATAATTGCAGTCAGATTAGCAATTGGAATCTACATAAATTCAAAAAGCAATGATCACATGAATATGTTCCATAAAATCAGAAAAAAAATGCAAGTATTGTTTTAGTGACATACTAAATGAAATTGGGTCTACCTTTTCTTGTTTACCCCAGCCAACAGCTGCAGCAGTTGACATGGTGAGAACACCAAGAGCTCCAGCACCAGAAAATTTAGCARCATTGCTACCAAATACTGATAGCAKTGCACAACCAAATAGAATCGAAAATCTTGTTGCTGAAACATTCTCCTAAATAAAAAGATATTAAATTATTTTTCTCGCCTAAAAACAATCAAACTTGCTCGATCAAACAGATAACCTTTGCATTTACCTCTTGTTTATCTGGAAACCACCAACACATGATACCACAAAATAATCCAAAACCAATGCCCATTACTAGCTCTATTGGCCCACGGAATATATTGAACACCAGGTTACCTTAACAGAAGAAGACGATATATCAAGAATTATTATCTTGATAAATTAACTATTACTATTAAGGTGACAGAACTAATACCTGAATGAAAACTTAGACCAAGGCACACACCAAACCCACTGATGCACAAGACATTATCAAAAGAAGCTGAGGCCATAACAAGTGTTGGGATTCCTTTCTCTGTTCCATAATAATTTGCTTGTAGTTCAAGAAGTGATGGGATTACCACTGCTAATGAAACTGCTGCAACAACAAACCTGTCCAATAAATCACATGGATGAGATAAGAACAAAACAAAATGAAAAAAACCTTTGTGATTACTGAATTGTTGCTTACCCCAGTTGAAATGCCCACTGCCATCTCATGTTCAGCAAAAAATGTGCCATTACTCCAGTAACTAATGCTTCAATGATACATGGTAAAAAAGCTAGTCGAAATACTGTGTATTTAAGTCTTTTAAGCGCATCAGTATTCAATCCAAGTCCTGATCTAATTAGTATAACCACTAGGGCAATACTCCTTATAGTTGATGACCATTTCTTATTAATGTGGGATGCAAAGTCAATGCCAGGAACATTGCGCAGTAAGAAACCAGCTATGAGCATACCAAKAAGTGGTGGTAATGAAAATTTTGGAATATACTCAACAACAACTCCAAGAATTGATGCAAATACAAACACTGTCAAAATACCAAAAACATTTCCACCAGGGAGGGCATCTTGACCAATCACAGCCCAAAGAACTGACCACAAAAGCGTTATAAGAATTATCCATGTTATTAACTTCGTTATATAGCTTGAAGGTGGACATGTGCAACCAAGTGATTGCATGGTGGTTTTGAAACGACTTGTAGGCGGTGCTGAGACGTGAATCTCAACTGCTTCGCCATCGACTGTCACTTTACTAGTAGYATTTTGGGTATCCATGATGGATTTTACTCTTTTTGACACTTAACGCATTATTTTATCACAACATAGTTTTTTTTATACCTTTTCTTTTAGGTCAACAGATGGCTGATTTGTCCATCGAYGATATGAATCGATTACCGATATGGCCTAGGAACTATTCGTAGAGATTTACATTGACTCAATAAGTCGTAGTATTCGCTCCTCGATTTTTCACAAAAAAATATTCTGTATTCTGGATCTTATTACACGCATTAGCAAATTTTAATATAAAAGATTTTCCCAGTAAATCTGAAGTATCAGCAATTCGATTGGGCTTCCTGTGTAGAAAACTGCTGATAATTGCGCCCGCAACTTCAAAATGGAGGATGAAGAGGTTAAATTTTGTGATACTGGTGATATCGACATTTGCGCTTCAAACAAACAAGGAACTTGCTTTTTCTGTCATTGCAAGTTCTCCAAGTACACATGTCCCCGTTGTACTGCCAGTTATTGCTCGACATCTTGTTATAAAAGTGAAAAGCATGTGCAGTGTTCGGAGAATTTCTATCGTGAAAATGTAATGGAGGAGATTTCAAGTCGTATTAAAGATCCTAAGGATGTTCAAAATGTACTCAGAATGCTGAAAACATTAGACAAGCAGTACCAAGGTGTTGATGAAGAATCTGATGGGCCATCTCTCGAGGAAAGATTCGCGAATATTGACTTGGGGACAGCTAATGTCGACGATATTTGGAATGCCTTGACACCAGACGAGAGAAGAGAGTTTGAAACGAGTGTTCAGGCGGGAAGCTTGTCTTGTTTGATTGAAAAATGGATACCTTGGTGGGAAAAAAATGATCAAAGGTATTTGTGACTTTCTTCCACATGTGAAAATAGGGATATTATGCTTTRTTTCGTATTGTAATGCAGTCTCCCAATAAATCTTTGTTGCAACCACAACCAAAACCTCTCAACAAAGAACAAAGCTAACGCCAGCATGTTGGATGAATGTAAAAAAAAAAAAAAAGTAAGGAAGGCAATTTTCATCTAACATGGTGGCTATGAAGAATGTTTTTACAGTGATATACATACTAAATTTGATTATTCTCTATAACAGGCCAATCAATAATAGCATTCAAGTAATCAAGTCAAGGGATAGTGAGGAAAATCATTCATCAAAGGACGAATTGAAGAACCTGAAGCAAAGTYCAAAATATCCCAAAGTTCTAGAAAATATACCAGCGATAAATGTCTCTGTCAACCCATTGATTAAATACAGTATTGTAGATGTGTTATATGCATATGCTTATGTGATGCGTATGTTCAATGGAGCTCCAGAGGAAAATCTTCACCAATCTGTATTGATTTTATATAGACTTGCATCAACTTTATCCAAAAATATAAGTTTTGAAAGTGTTGAAGAAGTGGTTCACAATTCATTGAATGCTGTAATAGAATGTAAAGACATTTTCAACTYTCAGGAATTCTCCTATAATATATTGTTGGATGTGTGTGAGTTGTTGTCAGRATGCTATTCTGTTGGTGAACTAAACACTACCTTCATTGACAGTGCACTGTCAGATATTTGTCGGCTTCTGACAAAATATAAGAAAGCTCTYAAAAGAGAAATGGGAAATGACAAAGAGGATGCTAAGAAAATGTTTTTGGCAAAGAAGAAAGTTGAATTCTTTGTCATATGGAACCACCCAAACAAAAGTGGTCTTTGGTGTTCACTAGTTGCTGAACTAAAAGCTGTCCACTGTAAATTGATAAGTAGCTGGAAAGTGCATGATACTGAGTCCAGAAAGATGGAAAAAAGGTTGAGARGAAAAAACATTRGCAATAAGGAACTAATTGAAGAACTATAGTAAACTCTTGATATTGGCAAGCAGGAACTGGGAGTACGTACAATAGAGATAGAACCCTTCATGGAACTTCACAGTCATTGTCTTTATTTCAAAATAGTTTTTTYTTACACTGATAAATCAATAATTACAATAACATGTACAAAATGTAAATATACTCAATAATATCAATTTCTATATATCTGGAAAGTAGAAGATACTRTTTAAACATCTTGATCAAATTCTTTTAACCAGATGAACAATGCATGCATTGCATATTAATGCATTGTAGTTTTAATACAAGTTGATAAATRCTATATTTAGATGATAAAATTAGGAGGTATCTTCATTGTGCAGCTGATTTGGTAAAAATTGATCCCTAACTTCCATTTCTTGCTGTTGTTCAGGTTCAACTCTCCTCATGAGATGTGGTCCTGTAATGGCAATAGCAGCAGCTCCTACAGGTGCAGTTAATAAAATAGACAGCACTGCCATAGTAACAATCTATGAAACAAAGAAGCATTAGTTGTTAATAATCTGACATCAACATGGGGTGAATCATATTGTCTTCTCATTTTCCCTGATCTATCCTTTTTTAAAGTCATATAAAATCCAGCTACCTATGTTTTAAACTTAAAAAACTAGTCATAGATATACATTTGAAAAAAGCTTTACCTGTATTCCATAGATTTCTTGTATCTTTCCTGTATAACCTCTCTGTCTTGCTATGTCAAGAGATAATGATCCAATAGCAGCCTAAATGGTATAACAGTAATGTGTTATGTGTCTATACAACACTATGATTAAATACATTATCAGATAATGGATTACCTGAACAGTAGCCTTTGGTAGCCATGCAATAGCTACAAATGCCTTTTCTTTGTTGGTKARGTTATTTCCAGCCATCAAAAGGAATGTTACTAACATACGAACTGAGACACAGATGGCCAGAGCACCAACACACTTRCCTATAGACCCACGTATGTTGTACATTATTAATGATGTTTAATGGTTTGTATAATCTATATTGATAATGAAGCACATACCTATGAATCTACCGTCCAAGTAGTCTAGGGACACCTCAGTGCCTATTAAACCAAATAATAATGGCTGGAAAAACTCCCATACAATGGCCATAGCTCCTGCCACTGCCTAAAATACATAAAACAAGATGCAGAAATTACTGATCATCACAGCATGTAAGCATACTATGTGAAAACAGCAGCTTTGTTGGTCAAACCTGTTCAGTATCTCCCCATCCATAACCAGCAATAGTTGCCATGGTTAGAATACCAAGTGCACCAGCTCCTGATAGTTCCACTGCATTGAATCCAAACAATGACAGAAGTGCTAAACATGATAGCAAAACAAAACGAACCCTGGATCTATCAGCCTATAAATCATGAAATCAATGTTAGTAATACTACAGACATCTAAGAAAACATAGGAAATCACATTTTTAACCCTGGATCTATCAGGCTACCAACCATGAAAACATTGTCAGTAATAAATACAGAAATATGAAAACGTTACTACAAAATCACCTTTCTGTAGAAGCTAAACAGGCATATATATTTGGAGAATACAAATACAAGTTACCTCTTCTTTGTTAGGAAGGTACCAGCATAGAAAACCAACTACTGAGCCAATCACAATACCTAGTACAAGTTCAATAGGACCACGAAAAATGTTGAAGTACAAATTACCTGAAATGGAGTGAAACATTGAATATAAAAAGCATATGACTGATAATTGTACTTTGAAATAATGATCAAGATGAAAGACATATAATTTGCCACTATTAGCTTTTGTTTCTGGTTTGCCAAAAACAACCCTTATAGGCTGCACACTTCAAGGGTCTTGTGCTATTGAATATAAAAATGATATTGTGCTAACCTTGAGAGAATGCAATGCCGATGAAGACCCCAAACAAACTGATTGCCAAGACATCATCACATGAGGAAGCTGCCATGACAAGAGTAGGAATACCTTGCTGCACACCATAACCTTTCTCTTGAAGAACTAACAGTTGAGGTACAACAACAGCTGGTGAAACAGCTCCAAGGACAAACCTGATATTTATGATATTGATCCATATCATTTTAGCAAAGAGCTGGTAGAATGATAATKAAATATGACAATTTCAAACTGACATATTTTACTTCGAACCTCGAGGAACTTACCCTAGTTGCAATCCCCATAACCATGGCATATCCAGTAAATATCTTACTATAACAGCAACAGTGACAGCCTCGCAGATACAAGGTCCAAAAGCCAGTCGAATGCATGTGAACTTGAGTCTTTTCAAAGCTAAAGGATCAAGCTCTAGACCCGACCTGATCAAAATCACAACAAGAGATATACTTCTTAAAGTAGCGGACCAACGATTGTCGATATGCTTAGCAACGTCAATGTAAGGGACATTACGGAGTAGGAAGCCAACCACAAGCATGCCAAACAATGAAGGCAGCACTAAACAAGGAATATGTGAAGCTAAAAAACCACCAAGCGATGAGCAAACCAAAACTATAAATAGACCAAATAAATTTCCACCTGGTAGCAAATCCTCTCCTACAATACACCAAAGTGCTAGCCAACTGGTGACAACGATTAATGTCCTAGTTAGAGTCCTTGCGAGAAAACCCGACGGGGGAAATATAAATCCACATTTCTTTTTACAGAAAGTRCTTGAATTAAGTGAATCTTCGGTATTTTCAGCATACTCTATCTCTATATTTCCTGAACCTGCCATTACAAAATAATCAACTCAAGGTCGTCCGCCATTATGTTGATTTCTCCAAGGAGAGGGGACTGGTTTCAAGTAACGATAGTATTACGAACAAACTCGGAATAAAATCGTATAAGTCTCGTATAAGTGTMGGGTATATTCGTAATAAAATCGRGGACACATCGCATTTGCGCGCGGTTTATTCTTGTCGGCAAAGGTTTCTGCTATAATCTACTATATTTCATTGGACTTGCATCACATGTTTGCAGGTATATTATTATCCAAGCGATGGATAGAGTTATAAAGATGTCAGGGGATGAGTGGATGAAGCTAGTTCCTGTTGCCGTTGTCTCTGCTTTCGCAGCTTACTTGGCATTCAAGACGTTTTCTCCACAGAAGAAGGACATCGTCAATCCTTCAATCCAGAAGGATAAAGATAAAGTAGCTAGTGCTGTAGACATTGAAGATCTAGGGGAGAAAGGCGTGTTTTGTAGATGCTGGAGATCGTCGAAGGTACAGCTATTGTTGAAACAAATTTGTATTGTAATTTTTAACTGTGCTGTGCTGTAGGCACTGTCAGGTCAAATTGAAACTGTCCATAATTCAGTGAAAGGCTGTTAAAATTACCTTTCATATCTGTGTGCTTCACCTACCTTTGGTGAGCCGTTGTAACATGATAAAATCAAATATGTGATCATGATTATGTAAGACTTAATGTAGGCGATGCAGGAATGGTCCAGTGATCACATGACACAGTGATGCATGCTTTTGCGTTAATGTATACATTCATGCTATTTTAGTTTCCATACTGTGATGGCTCACACAATTCCCACAACAAAGCCACTGGTGATAATGTTGGACCACTCATTGTCAACTGCAAAAAGGCAGCCTAAATTTGCAATGATTCTACACCTGAAATGTACACCAAACGTCTGTAACAATTATGTGAAAATTAAAACATGAATTTTTTTCCAAAAGTACTGATATGGTATCCTGCATATATATCAAAAAATGATTGCTAAGTACCATATGCCACATCAATACCCCAGACTTCAAAATTAAGCCCTTTTTCTGCAAATAATGGCAACAAGTCCAAAAAATCTCATCTAAGTTTTTAATGTTATTTCACTGGCACTGTTGTTTATGCCATATTTGTTGGACTTGCCATTTGAAAATTTGTATCAGGTTTCAGAAACTTGAGCAGACAAAAAGTCATTGTTTGATTTGTGAATTATACCAGAATGATTGGCTCAAGTAGTTTTGTTTTTAGTAGTAATAACACACCTGGTGTCAAAATGAATAAATATTTTTGATTTAATTTTTCCTTTTTTCACATTTCATAATATAAAGTATAATTATGCAAGCACTGTATTGATATAACTGATGTGTTTTCATTTTTTATCTTATCAATCTATAAACAGTTCTTTATAATGTAAATATCAAAGCTGGCAGGTGATCTGTCTCACATTTCATGTATTCCATTTCTACATGTTAAAGCAGAATGATAATGCCTGAGGCTCATTTTCTAATGGTGAATTGAGTACTACTTGACAGAAAATTAGTTATTATTGAATTAGTTGCCTTTCCCTTAACAGATAATGATGAATAAAGCATTGGATATCGTAAACACACTTAGGCTATAACATCAATATCAATAATTTTAAAGGAAAAAAGATAACTATGTACACTGCTGCSATGCTTCCATCTAAAAATGGAAAACAATTTTTGAAACTTGACTTRGTCTTTTTTCCATTGCATTTGATAATGTGTATACATGTTATACAAAGATTCTTTGCTTTTTCAAGAAACTTGAATTTGAAGGCATTATCTTTGATATTGGTGTAGTCTAAGAAATGGACTTAAAATTATMATTATAGTTTATAGATGTTGAAGCTTATTAAATAATGTCTTATAACTCTCATAAGTCGTTGCAAGGTACTTAAGTAGTTGGATTCACCCACATTGTGGTTAATAAATTCCATTGTTCGTGTCGAATTTAACAAACACATACACAAAGATAAAAAAGATAATCCATTCGGAATACTGGAAAGGTTTTCCATCTATCTTTAAGACGCGGTTTGTTTTGTGGAATTCTTAATCTATTTTAATCAAATAATGAAAGCTGCGATTATCAGTTTACTCGCTCTATTTTTCAAATAGACTATTTCAATTAACGAAGAAGGGCCACAAGGTGAAACACAATTATTTAGCATATATAGCGATTATGCCCGGCTGGAGTCAAAATTGACTGAGGAGACTGTGCTTACTGGTCCTGAAATTAGCGTATATTTTATTGTATGGCCATAGAGAGSTACTGGTCGATATTAGTAATATCGCTTCAAGTACTTTTAAGTGCTTAAAAGGAAGTTTAACCAACCGTTTGTCCTTTTTAAACACACTTTGGTAATTACTTTGGCTGAGGGACTAACCCAGAAAAWTTTTTCACCTGTTAAGCAGAACACAAGGGGACTTAGCAGCTCTTACTACTATTGCCACTTACTAAAATCGATATGAATAACTCGGAAAAATTGACTAACGAAACTGAGAGGAGTTCGCTTTCGTTGGCTTTATCTTCAACTTGGTTTGATGTAATGTCAATTATGTTGGGTTGTATTGTAACCATCGGTAACTTATTCGTATTATTGTACATTATGGTGTACAAGCGTCACCAGGAAAAGACATCAATAGTATTCCTTGCTTTATCCAGCGCTATTGCTGATCTTTTTTATGGCCTGATTACGATTCCATTCAAAATGACTTGTGAGCGATTAGGAATCGTGTGTTCACCGACAGTTTGGTATATAACAGACTCTTTTATTAGTGTCCTACTAGTTGCATCGTTGATGAATGTTTGTTTGATGCATCTTGATCGTTACTTCAGTATAGTGCACCCGTTCCTTTACCGAGGAATGATAAGCCATCGTGTTCATATCATCATACTTTCTGCATGGTTGTTCGCATGTGTTCAAGAAATCCCATCGATTCTTAGTTATGCTAAGATCTGGCTTGTGGGAGACTTCCTTGATACCATTATCAAGTTATTACTTCTGGGGATTTTTCCTCCCGTGCTAGCAATCTATACTTTTATAAGAATCGGCATTGTGCTAAGAAGGCACAGAAAAGCCATTACAGAACGGCGCAAGTATTTCCAGTGTCCACAAAAAAGGAAACGACAAGATAGTGTGAAYAGAGCACGATATATCATTCTCACTGCAGTTAGCGTGATGATGATTGTAGGTGTTATCCACTCGAGCTTCTTTCAGTACCTAATAATAAACTTTCTCCTGGACATTCAACCGTCCGTAGTCATACAAGAGGTTGTATTTACTATTATATATTTCCACTCCATTCCGAACGCTTTAATAATTGTGTACATTGGTATGCAACGTAATGCCAATGACTTACAATAGACTGTTAACTTGCATTGGTACAGGGAAGAGGTCGARGAGGATAACAATAACTTGATTTARCTTGGCATTGTACACGGTTGAAACTATAGGARGGCAAAGAAATTAGCTCTAGTTGTAAACGAAATGCTCAGAAACAATCTAAAGTAGGTTGAAGGTAGGAAGAGGGGAAACCAGGAAGGGTGAAACAATAAAAGCTGGAAGCTTGAATGAAGGCTTTGAGAAGTGTTTTGTTCACGAAACCACAACCTCAAACTGAAAAGCGAAATGACAATTTCTTTTTATTGCCATATGCTTGAAACCAAACCTCGACACCCGGCATTCAGGTGTTGTCATACATCAAGGGCGGTCATGTATTGTGATAGGCAATGAATTTATTTGGTACGCAATTGTGGATCTTCATACTGATAAGGCGCACGTATTGGTACTGTCATAGCCTATGAACCCTTAATGTGACGTCTAAACAGCCTCAGCTTGGGGTCTAACGATTTTTGCTCCATTACTATTAAGAAGTCGGATCTTTTTTAGTCATCATAACTTAGAACTGTAAGGGGCTGTAAGGAATTATTGTAGACATTATACTAATAACCACTCAGAAATATGGATTTGCGTTATTAAGTCACACCCATGTATAATTAATCGGTTGCAATCCATCGAAAATCATGGATACTAGTGATATCTGTGTATCAAATGTAAATGGTGAATAAATTAAATGTTGGTGCGACTGATATGCACTGCACTGTGATCTTTGTACATTTCAGTCGCGATCAATGTCGTGCTGCGCCGGCTTTCAATAGCACCGATAATGCTTTTAAAGAGACTAATCTGTAAATGATGACTATGTGTAATTGATGTAACAACATATTTCGCTTTACTACAATATTAGTTTTTCAATGAAAGCAATACCCGTTGATGTAACGCACGCTGGTAGCCTTCTCCGCAGACAACTCCTTTTCCGTTGGTTAAAGTCTGAAGAGATTGAGGACGAACAAGCAAAAATTGGGGGGGGGGGGGGGAGGGGTGGCTACTTTTAGGAGTATTTAACATGTTTGTATATGTGTGATTCTGATCCGACCGTCAGTGGACTGTTGCTGCGGAGTTCCTGTGCTTTGTTTTAATCATGAAAGTGATAGACCATCCCAAAGTGACGACAGATCAAGTCTGCGCTGAAATAGGATAGAGAATGGTATGACCTCACTTCTGTGATGTCATCGTTTAGGCATCACAGTACTTCGCTGATGCTGCCTGCCATCACGTTGTTTTTGGTGGCGACTGTTGTGTAACAAGACCTTTGTAATTGTTGAACTGCAAGTACAAGGTAGGAAGTGACATGATTGATAAGCCCGAAGTGTTTATTTAACGGCGGCTGAAATGTATCTTGCGCTGAAAATTCTTGCGCGAGTCATTCCACAGAACGCCTAACTTTGTACAAGAATAATCTGATTTCCGCACACCTTTTACTTGTACTGACTTTTATATGACTTATACCGTAAACTTTATAATCATTTTGTCAGGATGCCAGGCAAACGGCACTTTATACAGTTTTAACTGTAAACAGGAGTTTTATCCTTCAAGTATACGGACATGATCAGTGCAGTGCTAAATGAACAATAGGAAATTATCGTTACTTAATTATCGTTAAATAATTCGAAGTTAAGTTTCGCCATTTAGAAGATTAGGTCAAGAGCGACAACTCTAGCTCTAATAAGCCAGCTTCATTCAAAACTTAGCTGACTTTCCAGTCGATTTTGCGCTGCTAGCGTGACAATGACATTTATTCGATCCGTATTACTAGTGTACGATGACGTCTGCATGCCGGATCGCGTGCTTGAAGATTGAGTTGCATATATTCCAATTCGGCAGAGCCAAACGTCTCACGATTTTTCTCSAATTCCCCAGTATTATTTCCTTGCTATGATAAGAGCGTAGCGAGGACATTGTTGATCGCATCGCATCTGGAAAGTGTTCATCCATGACTATTTTCGAGTTTGTATATAGTGTGATCTTTTGCCAAATAAATGTAACTGTTTTAAAAATTAAGAAAAATGATAATTTTGTGAAAAGTATTAATTGTAACACTCTTTTTTTGGAAAGTGTTTTGCGCAGACATTATTGTGCAAAACTGACTACGAAAAAGTTTCGACGTCGACGGAACCGTCAGTAAATTATCTCTCTTGGTTCATTGATCACCTCTCTATTTTTTTATCGTTTTATTCTTTATTGTCTATGTTATACTTTATTTCTTTATACAAAAACATAAATGAGCTTGAATACTATTCCCGGATACTATTTWATACCAATGAGTGACGAGAGAGAATTATCACTTTGTTTTTATACGCTTGCTGTGAAGGCTTTCAATACAATTACATTTTCGTTACGCACCTATGATTTTGAACTTAAAAAAGAATTTGAGGTTTACTCAAGTTATTTTCTTACTGAGAGGTTACCGAACCGTGAAATCCGCTGCAACGAAAATCAATTAGTATAACAGGATTGGAATTTATCAACTACATCTGAAAGTAAATAATAACATAGTTCAATTTTTATTCGAAAATCTAATAATAGAGATTGATTGCTCGTCAAAGCTAGAAATCGATAGAAAACATTTCCAAAAGAATAACAATACGCGCGCTACTGAAAAGAATTCAAGCGGAACAAGCAACCAATCAAAATATAAGAATGTGATCACGTGATTTGGGAAAATAATACGGTAGTAATGKCGTCTCGGCGACGATCGTGTTTTAGCATGAAAACGGTTTGATTTTCATCATTTCTAGCTTGAAATCGAAGGAGTTATAAAATTGAAAATATCTGCTGAGGTAAGACATGAACATAGTTGGATTTACATCCCTTTTAGTGTTTTTTCCTTGTAGTGATCCAAAGTTAGTGCAAGTTCATGTGTCTGATTGTCGATTCAAATATAACAGAGTTTTCCGATTAAAATCACAAATATTTCTCTCATATATTAATAATATCTTAGTTCTTTGAATGCATTTTATTGTAGACAGAAATCTTTCGGATGAATATCAACTGAAATTTAAGTTTCATAAGCTTAGGACTTAGTAAACTACTCATGAATCATCAAAGGGATGCCAAGGGTTTCTGACAACAAAGCTGAAAACGTTCACCTTGCGTTTTGTATTTTCCCACCTTCTTTAGATACACTCTTTTATCTGTACCTGTTCAGACTCCTTTTATTTCTTGCTGCCGGTGGCTTATTGTTTACGTCTTTGTGTATAGACAGAATTTGTCGGCCTTTAACTTTACAACCGCCAAGCAAATACTCGCGAATCCTGTCGGAAAAGTTCTTATTTGTACACATGAAAATGGCATTTTGGTATCGGKAATTCCGATCTAGATTGTCAAGGCACTGATTTATTGGTGCATGTTCAAACAAGTGTAGGTTCTAAAATGTTTGTAGACTTCAAAATAGTTATACTGTGGTTTAAGACATAGCTCATACATACGTAAGTTAAACTATATGAATAAACTAGGTATTTAAATAAACTAGGTTTCACTTTTCGTTTAATACATGTGTGATATCTCGCTCTGTATTCAATAATTCCTTGCAGACTTTGTAGAACTATGAATGTTTGTAAAAATACCGAATTACTACTACGATGCATAGCCCAGCAACATTTCATTCCTCCTAATACGTACACTTGTAAATGCAAATGAATATAAAATGCTTTCTGTAGTTTAGGAGTATTCTCAACAATTTCATCAAGGATTTCTTGTCCACCTTGTAAACTTTCAGGATATAAAGTATAGATTATAGGAATTGAAATTTACATGTAAAACATGCAAACAAAATGTACATTTTTCTAAAGCGAAAAGAATTACGAAGGTGTCGGCAAGAATTGTCGATAAACACCAGTGGATGACTATTTTAACGATTATAATGTATTATTAGTACGTCTAATCATCTACTGACAGTGCAAGGTTTAGCAGTTTTTGTAATAATATATTAGATTCAGCAGGAACAGTGATGTGTTCAAATTGATTCRTGAAAACGTTCTAAGCAACCAGTTATTCCACCTAGGAATTCAGAAAATTGTCAGTATGGTTATCAGTACAAATTAACTTATTTCTGATGTGATTGATATATTTGTGACATTTATGTCASTTTGTTTATTGTAGTCCCTCACTTAACAAAGTTTGCCATGCATAATCAAGTGTATGTGTACATAATATTTATGTCATCATAAATTGATAAATATTGCATACACATTTTGTCAATATCTTTATTTTTATCAATGGAATATCGTTTTGATGCAAGGTCAATATTATGTACACTATGTTTTAGTATGTTACAATTAGAAATAACCTAAACATTTGTGTAGGTTTTGAGTCCAATGAAAATATATACTGTAGTACTCAAGTCTGTTTCTTTGAAATGGTCCAGTAATATGGTACCGAATAAAAATTAACATCTAAATATATAAGTGCAATATTTGCCAGTTATTGTTATTATGACAATGACCAACATTAATATCTAAATTATTGATGGCTGATTCCTCCATAGAGCCCTAAATTTCAAATATTTTCAGTGACATAAAGTAATATGGATCATGTCTAATATCCTGTTAWGTCATTTTTATAGCTTCCTCTTATATAACACTTTAAACTAATACATGATGTTATACAATAAAATTTATTCTAAAGTTAGTGTATTTCTACATGAGGTTTTTCTATTCTTTTAATATAAGGAGCATTATGTCAGCATCAATATAGTCCTATCTATTTTTGTTCTAAGTGATATATTATTTTTCTTTTTAGAAACACCAAGGAAGTAATGTCAAACAGGGGGMAGATATATTTATAATTTATATACTTGTATTTCTACCAAGAAACAAATCGCCAATAAAATGCTATAATGTATGGTGCTGATAATGAGGGATGATTACAAACATAGCCATGCCTATGGCAGTAGTGACCAAGTGGAAGATTTCCAGGTGGAAGTTAGTCTGAAATTTCAGGAGGAATTGCTCAAGGTATAGATGAGGATTTTATCTATTTAGTTATTACTTTTATTAACTATTRCTTATTAGACAGCAATCTGTCACATTGCAATATTGTATGCTGTGATTATAATATGACCAGTAATGATGTGAATTACATCATGTCTTTTATTTGACCACAGAAAAGCTTTATCTTCGATCCAGATGATAAAATATGGTTTGCAAAGATACAAGTTATTCATGAGCTAGCAAAGGTATGATTTAAACCTACTTCCTTTTCCTGWCATTATATTTTGTTTGATAACTACAAAAATATTGTGGTATGCATGCAACAATACATCAAAGTTCAAGATCAATAAGGTCATTAATCACCATAATACACATATTTAGACGTCCTACATTAACAGCTAAAAGCCTCCAAATGTAGACATTTGTTATWTATGATGTTGTCCTATGCACATGGTTTCAGTTTCTTATAATATRACAAAATGAAAATGAAATAGTCATTAAATGTATGAGAGAATAATTTCCAACTGTATTTGTAATCATTATTTTGATGCTTAGGGTGTCAAGGATGTGTTCAATTACGGGTTTTATGAACCCCCTAACAATGGTAGGGCTGGTAAGTTTCTGGATGAAGAAAGAACATTCAAAGACTACCCACAAAGAGGATCTCCTGTAGAACTAGAGGTATAGCATTGTTCTATGTCAATTCCATCTTTTGAAGTCTTTGGTGTATTGTTCATTTATTCAATCATATATATTTTAAATATTAGTTCAAATACAAGAGAAGAGTGTATAAATCATTGCAGTATGATAGCAAAACCTTACAGAAAGTCCATACCAAGGTAATTTGATAAGCTTAATGATTCATTGTCACATGYTTACAAGAGAGGGCAAGTACATCAATTATTCCTTGAGGGTTGTTGAACTTTGAAACTTTTAACTTGAAATACTTGTTATCTATAATTCCAGTCTAACCTCAAGAAATTGTTAGAATGTGTATCATCCAACAATGTTGCACAAGTGTCAAAATGGACAGAGAAGGGGCTGGATCCAAACTTTCAAGATGATAAAAGTGGAGGTGAATAATACAAGATGGTAATACATGTATACTCTACTTTGATCTAACTTCTTGCCATTTTTATTTCTTATAGAAACCCCTTTAACAATAGCAGTAACAAGTGATGACAGGCGCGATTTGATAGYCATGTTAGTAAATGGTGGAGCTCACCTTGACTATAGAGCAGGTGATGGACTTACACCCATGCACAAAGCTGCTCTTGCTGGAAAAGCTGGCAATGTCAAGGTATGCTGTTTCATGAATTCATCAATCAATCAATCAATCATCCAACACATTAATCAATCAGTCTACCAATATTAATCAGTCAATTGATTAGTCAGCCAAACTATCAGTCAATCAATTAGCAAGTGAACTTGTCAACCAACCACAATATACATGTAATCCACATTTTAGTAGTATTTATTATTATTTTGTTTTGTATTTGAATAGATTCTTCTTGATCTGGGCTGCCCACCCAATGTAAAGGATCCAAAGGTTAGCCACATTTATCATTTATGTTTTACTGTGTATAATTGATTTAAATAAAATCCATCAACTTTCAAATACTCCACAGAAAGTGCATGTCTGCTTATAACTGTCTTGTYTTTAGGGTCTCACACCACTTTACTACAGTGTGCTACATGGTGGTGATCCTTACTGTACTGAGTTGCTGCTCAATGAGCATGCTCAGATGGGTGTGGCTGATCACCAGGGTATGCAGGAGATCCATCATGTAAGTGATCCTTAGATAAAATAGTCATTTTTATTTATTTGTAATTACTTGAATGTTTGAGGAATTGATATCGTTTGTCTGTATTTGTTAGGCTTGCAAAAAGGGTCTTGTGCAGCACTTGGAACACTTGGTATTTTATGGTGCAAACATCGATGCTACTACAGCATCAGGGAATACACCTCTACACATCACTGCACTTAGTAATCATGTAAGTGCATATTTGATTAACRTATCATAGAATATATGATGATGGTGATGATAGTGCTTATGATGTTAATGACCATGATGGATACAAATCTTTATTCTTCAATACGCAAAAGAGTGTTACTGAAGCTAAACCTTCACCAATTTCAGGAGGAATGTGCAAGGGTTCTTTTATTTCGAGGTGCAAGACGAGATATACTCAACTATGCCAACCAATCAGCTTATGAGGTAGCTATTCATTTCTATTTACATACATTTATGAGGTCTTGATTGAAAATCTRGTATGCAGTCATCTAACTTATATTTATTATTTGCGTTAAAGGTTGCTGCTGTTGCTGGAAATAAAGAACTTGCAGAGTTTATAAGACGGTTTTCTGATGGACAAATAGGTAACATATGGGGATCTTTAGAACAGTAGGCTTGGTTTGTCATGCAGTACAGTTGATCACTGCCATACGTATATTGTACAAGTCATGCTTAACTCGTCCATTACTTGTCATTCATAATGTCTGTTTTATTTAAAGTGAAATTTACCGAGAAGCCAACATACAGYACAAGGCGACGAAAAGTAGTTCCAAAACCCAGAGCGCACTCATTGTTTGAGTACCGGTCCAGTTCATTAGACACCCACCCCCACTCAAGTAAGAGTRATTCCAGTCTGCCTCCATCGCCCAGGTCTTTGTCAGGAAGTCATCGTTCCAATAGCAATGCTGGTAGTTTAGACGAAAACGGTCCCCACAATGGACGAATRCAGCGTAGCACATCAGTATGCTCTACGACGTCAGAGTCATCGTATAATTCTGATCCTGAGGACTTGTCGTTGAACGAACGGCGCTTTCGTGCACAAGAGGTAATGAATATGCAACTTGAATGAAATCAAATATCTACTTATTACCCTTTATATAAAGCAGTTGTCAGGTGCTTTTGTTTATGTASCTTGATTTCGATAAGATGTGAATGGAAAAAAGGAGCCACTTTTGAACCTGTGCGCATCTTTTAGTGAATGATGAAATAATAAGTACTTTTAAGTACTTAATAATAAGTTTAMGTTTGGAGGCGTACCTGAGTGATATTGTAATTTCTTTTATGCTTAGAATCGAACTCGTGATGTGGAATACCCTTCAGGCAAGATGGCACCGCCTGTGAAGATAGTATCGGGTGCAGCATCGGTGCGTAAAAGACTATACGCTGCTAATGCGGCTGGTAGGCGCTACATCGCAGTTAAAGATTACGTTCCGTGTAGGAGTGGAGAGTTACAGCTCGAACGTGGTGATATTGTAGAAGGTAGGCATTGAATCTTTGAATATCTATATGTATCTATGTATCATTGTTTTGTTCTATACAGACATACAGTGAGAGCCTTTTTATAAAACTTGAAAGCAAGTGATTTGAAATYCCTTATGTTGTCGTCATGATGCCCTCATCATCATTCATAGAATGAGCCGGGTCAATCTCATGATGACTTGAGGTATTTGAATGATAACTTGAAAAATGACATGATAYACAACCGACGGAAGTAGAATACAAGGACAAACTTCCTGGTATTGACGTGTTTTGTTAGTGACTTCACGTAGTTGTACCATAGGAACACCGTTATTTTGTTTTCACTGACCTGCGTGGCACGATTAGATAAAAACCGCATGCATTCTTTTTCGATGCCAGCATTTTAAATCAGACATTTTTGCTCGAAATTGTCGTATTATGCTTTATAATGKTAGTTTGTACAGCAGTACTATCCATGACGCCTGTCACCATTATTCAAGGTGTCATTTCACCTGTAAAATGTTTAAGTCTATCCATGTGACCTTTRCAGCTATRCCTACACACCGTTAAATACTGCTGTCATTGCTTGTTGAAGCAAATTCTATCCAATACAATGGGGCCGCTTTATATTTAGGAAATGTTTGTATTAGAACTCTCTTCTTTCTTTTCGTATTTAGTTATGATTTAATATTGTTTATTCTTTTTTGTCAAGAGTATCACAGATTGCAAAACTGACTAGTGATAGTCCTGCGTGTTTTTCGYCTAAAATCCAAGGTCAAATTAGGCAGAACTTTAATTGCAGATAACAAGGACGATTAGAAAGAGGTTCTAGAACCAATTCCCAGTGGATTATATTTACTTACTCATTCATCAGCCAATCCATAAAGATAAACCTTTTAAGTGGTTTATAGATAAGGTGATTGAGTTAGATGCCAAGACTGACCTTCTCTTTTTGAAATGTCTTTGTATTCAAAGACCATTATAGTTAATAGTTAGTTAATTAACTATGCAAAGACTAAGAACATTGCTTGTCTTGTTTCACTGTTCAGTGCGTGTTTCCTTTACTTTGCCCTTRGGCCACAAAGTGTCGAGACATGGTTATACCCCATGTGACGGGCTCAAAATGAAATCAGTTAATGTAGCGGGTATAGAATAATGTTGCCGCTCTATTATATGCCTAAAATGGCTACCAAAATCGTGCGATAGAATGTTTTTCTTTCTAACTTACCTGTCATTTTTCTTAAAGACTTATAAACAGTATTTCTCAAAAACAAGTAATATCTCAAATGCTCTTTCGTATTCGTTGCTTCTGTCACGTATTCACTAAATTTTGCTTTTGTTACTATGCGACGAGTTATTGTTCTTTTGCGGTCACTCTTTCTATTGTTCATGTCTTTTGACATTTTATTCCCCAAGTGACAAATCGAGGTGTTTCGGTWGGCCATTACGGACGTATTATTTAASTTCGGCTCGTTTCAAGTTTTTGTCCATTATACCTTGCACCTTATACCTTGCATTTTGCAAGATACGAGGGAAACCATCGCCGAAAAAACATCTAGCCAATTCCTTCAGTGTTTTACTTACAGGTTAATCAGCGTCACCGCTGCGCGCTCAGCCAGAACACAAATTGTGTGATGAATTCTGACTTTGAACAACTTTAGACCAGCTCACGCAATAAGAATCCGTCTAGTGACTTCGAATTCAGGCATGGMGTAGTAATCACCGATCACTGATGTAACTGGATGGATTGTAAATTCCACAGAAAATGTCAAATGGTTTTAGCGAAAGCAAGAGTGCGGCTGATAAGTCAAAGTCTCTTAAAAGATCGTTTAGTTTTCGCGACAAGAAAAAATGGCGGCTTAATAGAACGAAAACTATTCACGAGACCCAACTCAGTCGTGATGAGTTTACATGGGTCAGAAAAGATATGTATTCTTGTGATGATAATGCTTTAAATGATGATGGTAAGTGTTAGTTTATGTTGTATAGTCGCGTCTTACAAGAATTATCATTCACAATAACCATTGCGCTTTCAATTAACAAGCGGCGTCGAATTCAAAGAGACCTTTGAACGTAATGTATTCTATTAACTGGATTCTATCTGAATCCCAGTTTACAGACAGTTCTTTAAATGTAGAATAGAGATTGTAATTACTAGTAAAGCATCGGTAATATGGTATTCATAAAAATATTTCTAAAGGCGCACCGAATGTTTAACAAGACTTTGGTAACTGTACTAAGCATAATATTATTCCATGTCGTGGCTGATTTTTAATGATTTCATGTGCAGTTGATAATTATTATTTATTGTGTCTACGTCCATCGGCATAAAACTTAAATTCAAGGCTTAAACTAAATAATACTAAAACTAAATAATACTATTTTAAGTATTAACAGAAGAACAGATTTCCCTTATGATCGAAGCACTATATTAAGTTTCGATAAGTTATAATAAATATTCAGCAATGTCATAGTATAGTTCTTTGATCATATTCATGATAACCCAACATAAAGACTTCGTGTTTCATATTAGACAGTCAGGAAGGCAGCTGTATTTTATTATGGTCTAACAGCAGGGTTGTATTGTAAGGAATATCCTAACATTGCAAGGACCTTTCGTGTTGATTCACTCTCTACCGATCTCATTGCTTATCTGTGGAATAAATAAGTTTTAGTTTTGTTGGTTTGTTCAGTTAAGTTTGTTTATATAAGGAATTGTACTCATCAAAGCCGTTTAGATAAGATATTTTGATTCTTATATCAGATTGATCGGTCACGCAACTCAAAAGTCACGTCAAATGTACTGACTAAAGTTGGAGTAATACTTAACAAGGTTTTTCTTTTTCAGTTCTGTATGTGGGCGAGAGGGGATTCTGGGAAGGTCGTGTTGAGGACAGGACGGGATGGTTCCCTAGTGTATGTATAGAAGAACTAAAAAAAGGAGGTAAGTCTTACGCTAAAATCATTTACAASACTCACTAATGCAAATAAGAGGAGCGGAACATGATATTGGACCATGGGAACACCACCTCAAAAAAGTGCATTCAATATTATTTGAAGTGTGTTTTTATCTGTCTAGTGGGTGTGTTAACTTAAACATTCAATTACAGACAAGGTTGTTGTAATACACTATTGTTGGTCTTCTGATATTATTTCTATTATTTATTCACACCAACCGTTTTATTGTAGAAAAACAAAGACCAAGGACTCTTTTTGGCAGACCTCCTTCATTTTCCGGCATGTTCGCAAAAGCGTAAGTGACAATAAAAACCGATCAATACCTGTTTAAATGCGTACATGTAACTTGGTGTCACATTGATGTGCAAACCCCTTGAAGTCGCATAAGTAGGTCTCATTTGGTTCAAATTACCCTATTTGTATTTGAAAGACGATCGCCGAAAATTGATCTTCAAATCTCTTTCATAACCAAACAACAAAAAAGCATTAATGCGCACTAACTAGCCCTATAATGAAATATGATGATCTATTTTAACCAGTTACGAAGAAATTAACAAATGCATTGTTTATGTAGTGAGGATCCACGAGCGCCTGCGATTCCTGACCGTAGATTTATTCAAAAACCTCGTGAAGTAATTTTGAACAGGGGAAAGTCAGGCTTTGGATTCCAAATGCGTGGTGCTAACTGTAAGTATCTTTTAAGATATTATGTTAAAAACATTAGGGAAGGGTTTTATAGAGCAGCACGAGCCACATAGATCGCATACAGAATTTGATTAAACTTCCTAACCGAAAAGCTGTATGTAGTATACTAACAACCGTAACGTTGACTATAAGACTCATTAAATAAATGAAACAAAGAGCCATATAACTGATCACGTGGTTGCTCATATTAAGCGGCATTCAGATCTTACTAAAATAATATCCTTATTCTTATACATTAGGCCAAACTCCTCGACTTAATTTCCGTCCTACCAAAGATTTCCCTGCCTTACAGTATATAGGAGAAGTGGAGCCTGGCGGCGAGGCTGATATCAAAGGTGTTAAAAACGATGACTTCATAATAGAGGTAAATAATAGAATATTGTGATAGTGTGACGCTCTCTCATCATTGCAAGGAATATCATCTAATAATTAATGAATAATCAAATAATATAATCATAATCAATTACGTCTTTTTGAAGGTGAATAACGAAGACGTTACAACAGCGACTCATAGTCACGTGGTAAATCTCATCAAACGTAGTGGCAATAGTGTTAAGCTAAAGATTGTTACCGTTCCAGTTAGCATTGTTAATGGGGTGGATACACTGGATTATACTGATTCAGGACATCGAGGTAAGGCTGTTCATAAAGTGGGATGTTACTTGGCACCAGCTTTCAATTTCTTGTCACTGTATCATTGCTTCAGTCATTGAGCACAGTGGAGTGCATACCCTAAACTCTGCTAGAACATATAAAAAGGGTCTTTCGATGGTATTCATAGCTGGTATATTATTGTTTAAGGCAAAGTACCACCACCCTTACCACAGCGAGATCCTTCCACTACTCTGACTCTTGGCAGAATKAGATCTTCTTCTAGACCATCACTATTTGGTAAGTTACGTCTTGATCATTTTCTTTCTGTACTTTATTAATATCTRCATAACGATCTGTCTATTCTAGATGCTGGATTAGTACACAGTCACGAAGAGCCCGCGAGCTTCAAGGTTGATAGTGTAATCGCCGTTTCCAAGGATTCACAATGGAGTACTCTTCAAAGGAGAAAACCCAGCGACTCCAATTCCCGGTCAGCGGCGCAGTTTAAGTTCAACAGTGGGTCAAGAAGTAAACTGCGGAACCGCGGCGGTGAGATGACTCTGGACCAACGCTCTCGCTCGATGCAAAACATCGCTTCGTTATCCACACCGTATGATTCTGCAACAGTTGGGAGAGCTCCAAGACCGAGAAGCACGGCCGTACCGTTTGCAATCCCGCAAGTACCCGAACGTTTYACTCGTTCCATGTCGCACGGAGAGGATACGTTATCAAAGCCGAGAGACTTTCACGCTTATTCAGATCCCAGTCTTCTCGAWAAGCCTTCATTACCGACAAGGAGTTTATCGGTAGACGAATCAAGATACAATATGAGTTATGAGACTAACTCTACGAACTTCAACGATGAAGAAACTATAGTAGCCACGCCTGTAAGTGCTAGCGTAACTTATGTAGAGGACACTCATTCGAACGTTGATACTAGACCTAWTGATAGTACTTATGTCCAAGCTGCTAATGGCGATGTGAACAGACAACGAAAACATAGCCTTGGGTCAAACGATTCTTTGGGTCAAACATTACAAAGAGCTGTTGAAGCTCGCAATGAACGAATCAATGAGCAAARTCGAACTGACCGTAAAATTAGTGCGCCTGCAAGTGTGACAAGTCAGCGTCGACGAGYTCACACAGCCGCTGAGCGTCTACGATCTGACATAATGTCACAACTTAAAACACAGCTAAATACAGATAATGATGTATCTTCAAATGTTGATAGTAGATCTGATACAAACGAAATTGGTTATCAAGGAAACACCTCTGGTAATGATTACCGTCGAAACTCAGTGAATGATCAAGTCCAGGGAGACGCAATTGACAACATTGCCCATAGAAACACCGTGGATACCAGGAGCCATGGGGACGCAATTAATAAGGGTTACCATGGAAACTCAGTGGATGTAAGCTATCAYAGAAACACAGATGATACAAATTACCATGGAAACGTCATAGATACTAGTTATCATACCCAAGTTTCACGTCCGAGTTCAGAATCACAAGCTTCATCACCCTCAAAAAAGAAAGATTCACCCAAGAAATTAGCGAAACCACCTATTTCAAAGAAACCTGCTGCACCACCTCCTCCCCCGCCAGTGCCACCCACTGCTCCTCCTTTACCAGTCACATCTACAGTAAAACCGTCAAAACCAGTAACTAAAGGAAAGAAATTCGATATACCACAAACAGCTGTACGTCAAGGATTGATCACCGTGGACGCTTTACAAGCAAAAAAGGGCAAACTAAAAGCCACTAAAAATAGCGATCAAGAATGTGCGAAAAACTCTAATTCTATTCATGCCATGGTAGGACAATTGGCTGGTCAGGGGGGGCGTGCTGGGGCTAAGCCTGCGCCGGCGTTTGGTGGTAACCAGCACGCTCATATGCTAGCCAAGGCAGTTGCTGCTAGAGCTGCCAAATTAGCAAACGAGGCCAGYGACAATGAACACGATTCGCCATCATCTTGGGAAGATGACACATCTAGCCCCAACATTCCACGCACTAGTCCACTAAAAACAACTCAAACAAGTCCGAAAAAGACACCTCCACCAGTTGCACCCAAGAAATCGTCGGGAAGACGATCGTTGTTTCCGCCTAAAATGGGTGATCCGGACCGTCCCTACGACTACTCCACTGAGGAAGACCGTACGATGATGATATTTGATGATGTTATACGTAAAGAAGTTGAAAGTGAAAATTGGAGTTTAAATTCATGGAACAGCAGTGATTCTAGTTCCCTTGCCGAAGGTGTTTTACCTCCAGGGACATATCTATCAAATAGTATTGACGACAGACCAAGAAAGTCAAGTTTTGGAAGCGGATCACGGCCTTGGTATGAGTACAGCTCGGGGTCACCTTCTGAGGAGAGCCTGAACGCTAGCTCAGAACGAATTAGTCAATTAAGACCGAGTATATCTCTAGATGAGGGTACTACAGGAAACAGAAATAGAATAAACGATTTATATAGACGATATTCAGACGAAGATGGGCGGTCCGTTAGCTCGACGTTAACCAGAGACTCTGAAATAAATCTTGTTCCTGTAAGTGAAAAACSTTCTCATTCGGTGTCTAACTCCTCGATAGGATCGGATGAAATCAGTAACGACAAGTATTTGATCGATAATCGTCTATCAAGTGACGATTTAAATGAGAGATATACTCCGACCAATAATGTCATGCTCGACGATTCGAAAGTTAGTCATTCTGCATCAGACGACAGTGAAGTTGTGGAGAAGACCATTACAACGCAATCAGGAATAAAGATAAAGTTACTTCTAAATAAATCDCCCACTAATAACGAACCAAGGATTCCTACGCAATCTTCTTCACCGAAGGRCATTAATAGTGCTACAAGTTTTAATGACTCCGACAAGTCACCCATGAGCAACCATTTGAATGAAGAATTAAGTGATTTCCTCCCACCCCCTCCCACGGATTTCACTTGTGAAGATATTGATAATATGCCTTCTCCGCCACTTCCCCCACCACCAGAGTTTTTACCTATTGATAATAATGACTTTAACAGTCCATTACCAGCCCCACCCATTGACTTCTGCGATGATGATACCGATCCTGGGTCTTTACTGGATGTGCCTGCCATCAGTAACAAACACGTAAATAGGTAAGATATTCGTTTTATAGTAGCTCTTCCATGTGTCAAAGGTGTAGCTAGTTTTTCAGAGGTACAAACCATTTCACCCTGTGGTTGTGTGTCAAAATTRAGTTGAATTTAATTATGTTGCAAAATCGCCCATATTTGGACATGTGATTGTAATAATATGTTAATCGTTGTAAGATCTGTTAAGATTTGGGGTGTTTGGTGCCTCCAACCTGCATCAGTCCCTGCTCTAGTTCTTGTTATGAAATTTACACTTATTTTGTTGCATTTACAGTGGATCAACATTTMGAGAGAAGGCATTGTTGGAGTGGGACAGTGACGATGTCTGTRATTGGTTAGATTCACTGAATTTAACACAATACCAAGACACATTCAGAGACAATGACATAAAAGGACTTCACCTACCAGAACTTACTAAGGCTGATCTATTAGAACTTGGAATCAAAAGCCTTGGTCACAGAATTACAATGGAAAACTCTGTAGCAAAGCTGTGTCAACCAATGGAATCAAGCTGTTAATTTTATGAGGTTCAAATCTCAGGCTGAATTGTTGTCTTATAAGTTATTGTACAGTGTTACTTGGTAGTTTTAACCCAACCCTATGCATTGTCAGTGTAGGCTACTTCATCAAAACTCATCACCATTATAGAGTGAAGAAGACACTTGAATCTGTGAAATTGTACTATTAAAATTTGTTTGCTTTACTTTTTGAAGTTGAGTAAAAWTTCCTAATATTATCCATAAGGATGTATTGCCATTCAAAGGTTCTGCTTCAGTTACAGCACTATTTCACAGAATAAGTGCTCTTACTATTAAGGCTCTAGCCCAGTGAGATTTTGTAAACAAGTTCAAGTTGTTCAATTAACATGGGCCAAGTTCATATCTTAGAAAATAAATATTTTATACATAGCAACAAGATYTGTACAAAGGTGTATTGGAATTGTTCTCTTTGCTCACAATGACAAGTATACAAGGTTTTATTATTTTTATGAAGTAATGTAAGATATTGTTCATATTGTTTAAGTTTCACTATTTTTATGAYCACAGTAAAGTTCTTACAAATGTTCTCTAATTTCATGTCAACTTTGGAGTAGTTTCTTGTGCATGGATTATTTTGAAATAAACACTTTCAATGGAAAGGAAATAAAAAATTGTTTGTATGCCAAACATCATCATAGTTTGGCATCCCAACATAATTTCACTTGAAAAACTTGGTTGCTCAACATTATTGAGCACATGTGGGATAGGTTTTTAAAAACCCAAGAAWAGTCTCCTTGCACTATCTTGAAAGATACTCAGCTGTACCTTGAGCGTGCAATGCTATGATGACATAATGGAGATTCGTCTTCTATGCTAAGGCACAGCTAACTTYCACAATGGCCCAGTGAACTGTGAAAGAGACTATTGGTTTGCCAATATTTGGTGTTTGGTGTGTGGACTTGGGTGGTAAAGCCACCGCTACACAAGATATTTTTTGCCTCTGAGGCGACGTGATTTTCTCAAAATCACCAGCGCATGTTGCTACASAAGCGACAGTGCTGYATCRATAAAAAATTGCTCATGTAGCTGTGGTTTAAGGCAAGCAGAAGCATTTTGATGAGCTAGACTGAATTGATTAATTCTTCACTGTACTTAATATATGTTCACAAGGTTTAACATGAAAACCAAATCAAAATAATTCACTTGGAATTGTTGTTCCTACACTAGTAATTTGGAGAATATCTGCTGATTCAAGTTCACCAGCTTCAATGTTTCAAATTTCCACCTTAAATACAGTGTATATAATCTGGTAACTTGTTCCACAGCAGAAAAAATAGGTTGTGAACTTGAATGGCAATACTGTGTGCAAAAAGCAGAGATATTTACAACTCATATTTCTTTGCCTTTAAACATACATGACCCAAAATTCTCCCTCGATACCAAAAAGAACACAACTCTTCTGAAATAGAATTCTTTTATTGGGATTTCATCATCTAGTACAGACGCTGAGGCTTTCCCATAGTGCTCTTCAGGTAAAGAGCACGCACATTTTGCCAGTTCTTCTTAAGCAGAGAAACTAAAAAGTTGACAGCAAGATTGACATTGCCAGCTAACTCTTCATCACTCATTCCAACGTGACCAACAGCAACATTCAGACAAAGAACCTACAATGAGAAATCACTACAGCTGTATAACCCCTCTCAAATTATAAACAAAAATACTACAGCCATTTCAGAATTTTAACTTGTATCAAACTTATGGAAACGTTTGCTATAATTTGAAAGTAATGTTGGCTTAGTTTGAAAACCTAAGAAAACAATTAAAATAAACAATTGAAATAAATCTTCCAGGCAAACAGAACTTGTATACATCACCTGTTATAGCCTGCAATTTAGCAAGCATGTTCCGGACTAAGCCCCGTAGAGTAGGGCAGCCTCCCCAAATATTTAAGACCCTGGGTTGGGGTCCGATCAGCAGCATGCACTGATCTCCCAGAAAATAAGGCCTTACTAGTTCTTCAAGTTTTTTGATAACAAGAAAACATTTTCTGTTTGATAGTTGGTGTGAATATTGTGATCAAAAGTTTGATTCTCAATAAAGATTTGCTACACTTTAAAGAGAATACATATTTTGACCATTTCATTACTTTTTTACAACTTGAAGGACTAAGCCTTAATTCTGGTAAGACTCCTACCTTCTTCATTTGGAACTTGATGGTCGATTTGACATCTTCAACCTTTTGAACCATATTTTCATTGTGGGTGATTGGTGTAGGGAATTTACCAGCCTTATTTAGACCAGGTCCAAGAATACGAGGAATCTGTCTAATCAAACTCTCAGACGCCAAGAAAGCATCATATTTTTTGGCTGGAAAACAGCAAATTAATAGTCAGTGAATAATTAGTAAAAAGAAATCCATACATGCACCATTTTTAATATTTAATAATAAATACTTACCGAGTTTCTTGACAAGTTTCTTGTTTTTGTTGAGTTTCTTTAAGGCCTCAGCATCCATACAAGGGATGTTATTAGCATTTGCCTCATCACAGTGAGATGCATCACCAAGGATACAGACTTTCATCTGTGGTCTTGGGATTTTCTTTAGTTTGATGGTACCACTGAAACGCTTGTCCTTTTGAGGATCATAGTTCTTCAGGGCAATCTGAAGCTCGACAGTCTCTTGAAACTTGCGAGGCTTGTCTTTAGCACCTTGAAGGACGCCACCAACGCACTCATAAAGGGTGTCACGAGTAATTTTACTATTAAAAGATTTAGAGAAGCACCTAATTGTACAATTTATTTCTTGTGGACAATCCACATAAAGGAGTTCATTTGAGGGAGAATAATTCAGTATGAGATCTGTCTTTGAAAGATCTAAATCAAATGTTCTATTATTTGATATACTGTATTTTAGTAGTGCTACATCGCAGTGATGGGATTCATTTCATGATATCAACAACCATTTATGCCTTAAGCAGTAACTCAAATGTAAATGTAACTAATCGCTTCACATTTCAATGAATTCATTATATATTTCTATCTATAACATTTTCAATGAACATGTTGCGAAATCAAGGTAACTTTGAAATCTTATTTCGTCGCAAAGTAAGCCCYTTTTAGGCAAATTTGGACAGAAATTAATTCATTAAGGACAGTATATTCTTTGTTTAAGTAAAAACACACAGGATGGCAAATAAAACAATAAGATTGATCAGGATTTCAAGCTCCTTTCTCTCACACACCTCATCCTGTCGGCTTCTASAAGAAAAGAGAAATATTTAGYAGATGAGCATGCTCTTTTACGCTAATACCGCTGGCCAAAAATATTTACAAAGGGATCCCATTTAGTGACAATGAACGCGGCCATGGTCGGCCGCCATTTTGTCAGCTTGGCGCGAGATTTTAAATTTTATAMGACAAAGTGGTATTTCCAATCCAAATGAGCAATGAAATGTTAATGTTTGCTCTAAGAGCGATAAGGTAAGGTAAAACTGTATTTATGATGATAAGAGTGCCTTTACTTCCTCCAAATTATTTCAGAGGCTTGAAGAAGATGCACATTCACATGTCCTTTCATTCATAACTTCGTAGGTCTGTCATTCATTAACTTCGTAGGCTTTTCATTCATTAACTTCGATTTACGCGTAATTAAACAGTCATAGCTTTATAATAGTTTATAATAGTCCTGAAATTCTTTAAGTGCAGTGCATTTACTTTGAGTTGAGAGGAAGGGGTTAGTCTTGAAGTTCAATTCAATTCAATTCAATTCAATTTTTATTTTTACACACATATACTTATTTTACAAGGAATATTATTAATGGATTAAAGATAATTATGGGGAATTACATGTTTGTTATTGGAGAAAGTGTGCAGTGGCTAAAGGAGCTTAGCTTTCRAGTTAGCCACTGCCTATTGAAGAGTGAAATAGTTAACTTATGAGTACATGTATTTSACAGCTCAACTTGCATTTGCTTTTTTATAGAGTTTGCTAAAAAGGCTGAATGGCTGAAGTGTTCTTATTTTCCAAGTTGTTATACAAGTTGTGTGAAGTGCTTTTATTGTGCAAAGAATAGCATTTTTGGGGTCTTAGTAGGATTGCCATGACCAGATTGAATTCTTCAATGGTAAGCTCAACATTGTGTGCTAGAAAAAGAATTATAAAATCAATACCTGTGCCTGTGTTCTCTGATATGTATACAGTGGGCACAAGAAACATAAGATTGCCCATGCTAGTATTTTTAATCTTTCTTTTATTCCGATCTTTCATATCTCTCAGTATGTATATCACGAAATGCAGACATCTGATTTTTCAGATGCTAACACTAATGCTAAAGCTCATCTTAATTTTTTTTTTTTATACTACAAACATTGGTCATGTTTACTTTCTCTTTGCAATCTGTTAGGAAACCAACATAGGTAATACTATAACAACGGTGTAGCATATTCACATGTAGTTTTACTCTTTTGAAGATCTTAGAAATAACAAAACACAACATTTTATATTTCATTGAAAGAGGAAAATAAAACAAAAGGAAATGTCTTTGTTTCTTCATTGAAAACAAATTTATGATGTTTTTGCTTGTGACGGGTCTTTGGGTCCAGAATGTTCAATGAATTGACAGATAAGAAATTTAGTGATTGAATTAAGTGAATTGAGCAAATTTGACTCATGATTATGAAATAAGAAGGAATAAATTGATATATAGATGATYATAAGGGGATAACAAAAAATAACATCAACAAATAAACAATTGCAACACAGGATAAGTGAAATGACTTGCTGTTGATAATGAGCAATTGTCACTGTGTCCTAACTATGATAAAAAGAACTTAGTAGAGCTGTATAACTAGCATCAGCTAATCAAGTCACAAATAAACACACAGGTACACGCAAATAGTGAAACGATGAACCCCACTGTTCTTTTGGCAATCACCATTATTCAATGAGTAGATGATGGAAGTGAACTAGACTAGGATGGTGATTTTATCTTTTTTCATTGTTTTTTTTCAAGCATATCTAACAATACAAGAAAGTATGTTCATGATAATCAGTCTGATAAAAACGTCTATTGAAATATCAAACAATTTCCTTTCATAATAAAAAAAACGTTTGTCGACATCATTTTCCCTTTTTGCCTTCAGAACCTCCGGTAACTCCCATTTTTTGATAATGTCAATGTCTGAGTTCTTCAGCTAAATGAAAAGTGATAAAATCGAATGATTAATTGATAATCGTAACGAAGCAGATGTTGTAACTGGAGGCAACGCGAGCGCTTTTCAGTTGCCGCATGAATGTACTATATAAAAGAAATCCGGAAAAATATGCTTAGAGATGATGGAAGTCATCGAAAACATTGAAGGTGAACCATTAGAGTATTGAAAAATAGTAGATATTATCATCGCAATGCTCCTAAAACGGCCGCCCGCTTGTGTATAAGCGACCACTTTATAGTAAGTCATATACATCACGGCTGCTAATCTGAGAATTTGAACGTGGTTATAGCACGACGCTGGTCGACGTCTTCATTGTTTATCATATTTAGTGCTTTTAAACTCCAAATTCGACGCCAAGTAAATGTTGCTACCGAGGTAAAACGAAAAAAGGTTTCTGTTTGTTGAATAAATTTTCTGGAAAACTGTCAGGTTTTTAGCATGACTATACCTGTGATTGCTATAATGTTGCAGCTATATATTGTAGTTATATTGTCAATTTCCATAGACATAATGGCGACGAAACTCACCATGAYTTTCAGTGCTGGAGTTAATTTGTAGAGAATACAACTGACTTTTTCAACTCTAACACGTCAAACACCTGTGGTCTTCAAGCAGTTTTAGATTTATAGTACTATTTTGTTTGAAACAGAGAAGTTAAACATCTACATCTGCATTACCTAATCAGCAACGCTTTCGCATCAAGCCGATGTACATTTACAAATATAAAACATTCTAATTATATATAAATAAAAACGAAAGTTTTTCTTCACTCAATGGATAGTAACTAGGACTAGGTACTCATGAAGTACTGATAGAATCATTGTCGACAGGACATATTGACAAACTTAGTATTTTCGGTGCCGTATTGACTGCAGTTATGACACTTTTCATATGGGCGTCATTTCAGTAAGTGCTACATGTAGTATACAGGGTTTATGGCTGTCAAGGTTCAAACTTTACATGTGATGGCGGCGGGGAAAAGGCTAGGAAAAAGAGCTCTAATAATTTAAATTCTTCGTAATTGTTTGTTCGTTCAACTTATGAGTCAGGTAGATCATGATATGCTCCAGACTGAATCAGTAAAGTTACGTTTATGTCAAGGACCAGAGTAGTGCACCAAACCAGACTGACATCCTGCACACGACGTACTCTATTGACTGAATATCAAAAATTGTAATAAATATAGTAATCAACGATCTCAACGGCAAATGATCGTATGCATTGGACGATTTAATGGATGGATGGATGGGACGATTTAATGGATGGATGGATGGGACGATTTAATGGATGGATGGATGGGATGATTGAACGATGGTTACCGTGATGGTTGAATTAAAAAATTTTAATTGATAGTATCTTAGGTACCGGATTTGTTATAACTATACTCTTTGATTAGATAGCAGGAATAACATAAGATAGAATGGCTTTAGGCATGTTTTATCGTCTTAACATTATCGAAACCTGAGAATCTGGTATGACGTCATTCAATATCCAAGGTTTTTATGGTAACAAATGCTTCTATAACTGAAATATAAATTATGTTTGGATTACTCTTCCTTATTATTGCTAGTCATAATCCTGAGTTGTGAAAAATCTTCGTTTGCTATCTCAGTTATGCCCAGGCAGTGATATAGAATAGCCTATTGTATAGGCTGGTGTATTATCTTCTGTGATAGTGCTCATTTTAGAGGTTTTTATTGATAAAGCACTAATCAATGTTTGAAACGGATACGATATAAAAGTTTATTAAAAAGAGAATAGTAGCCATTGAAGGCTAAATTGCACTCTTAATGAATATCTCAATGAATATCTCTTGCGTACGTGCCATATATCTGTTTATTGATAAAGGCTCCTTTAGAGAGTACTTGCAGTCATTGTAGATTCACCGAAGAACCTTTTATTATAAACTTTCGTTTATCACTTTCGTGATACTCTCAGTCTTAAAYGCCCTTTTTTGTTTTGTTTTGTTTTTTATTTTGGTTTCTTAGAAGATGAATCAGTGAATTAATAACCAGTCTTAATTACTATTATGAGATTATGGATAGCGCATCGCTAAAAAAATCCGTATTTCAAAGAAACAAATGATCAAAATATTCCTGTAAATGTTCGTAAAAATTCATCATTGTTTCGGCAGCTCATTAAATAAACCAATCTTCTGAGCAGCTTGCTGTTCATCAGAATCAGTAAAACAARAAAAACAAATTAAAATGAAAATCTATTTTCGCTTACAATATACTGAGAATGATTAAAAGCTGAAATTGAACCATGATTTTCAGTCAGCCAATCAGATAGCAAGAACTGTTGCAGTTATGGCGAATGGAATTGGTATTTAGATCATCACTTTTTTGAAGATTTTTACATAACATTTCCTCCACTACTTTTTTAGTATTMATGGAAATAGCATTCAGTTTACTTGATGTGCAGTAACAGATAATTTATTAAACCTAGGGACTGATTGTTGTCGTGGTTCTTATCACGTGTTCTCGTTACATAACCCTCACCGTACATACATCACGTGTGGTAGCGACACCATCTGTGTCATCGATATCSCAAGGCGTTACAGAACGAATTTCCCATAGCTTGCATTTTGTTTCGGTAGGATTTTACCTAATTTTTTTAATATTATTACATAATATGTGAAAATATATATCACAGATTTATACGATTTAATGATTGTTCTGTTTTTTTTTTCTGATTCAAAAAAAAGTTGTTTGATTGTCAAAACGTGTTGTTTATATTCCTGCATGAAGTTGAATTAGAGTCTTGAGAAGTTTTCCTTCAGCAGCATAATTAATGAATAAAGTTCGAAGTAAAGGCGGCCAGGTATTGCTGTGTAAGTTTGGTTTTAATATCTTTATAGGTCTGAGCTTTCACTGTACTACAGCATTGTCAGAGACAGATCGGTGAATTAGAGTTTTACTTTAGACTTGCATAATTAGAAAATAATCAAAGCTTGAATTAAATAAAAGGAGTAGCTTAAATAATTTTAAAGATATAGTATAAGATAAAAGATCAATTTCTAACGAAACGAACGAATATTTTTTAGATTAGCTCTTAAATGAACGAATTTTCAAGTGTTTTTAATTGCACTTTCCATATGGGTATGTATTCCTGATCTGGATTGAAACCCTCCCAAAAAAGGAACAAATAAATAAATAAATAAATAAATAAATAAATAAATAAATAAATAAATAATAACCTCCTTCAAAGCTCTATTATTTTTCATTGTTATTCAATTCCAGGAAAAATAATATTTCGTTTATCACTTACTAAATGACCTCGAGTATTTTTCACTAGCATCCAAGCAAGATCAGTACAAATAAACGAATTCATTTACATGCAACATCTCAAAACCGTTTCCTTTTTGGAATATACCCCATCCTTTATAAATAGTAACCATGTCTTTGCTCAAAGCCTTCCTATATATTCCATATTTCATCGTCTGAAGTGAAACTCATTTAATTAGAAAATGCGCTTGAGATAGCTGTAAGGTGTAATTTAGAAGTTTTCATTTTAATCAGACGCTTGATTACACAAAGTTTTATTGTTTTTTTTTTTATAACATTGTTGTAAAACTAATACCATATTCTACAGTTTAAGGCTAGGAATAGAGATTTAGTAGAGTGTTTAAGCTATAAGAAGAACATAAGTCATTAAGAACATCAAGTGCGCTGAGTAAATCAATGGGTACTGGTATTTATTGAGGGTAACCTTCATCCTAAAGTTTATTGCTGTCACTTAATACCGACGTTAAATAAGGCTCCTTTACTTTTTTGTAGCAATGGCTTCAATGTTCATTTCTATTTACAACAACAATAGTAATTGCCAACAACATCCTCGACTAGTCAAAATAAGATCAGCTAAGTTTATGGGGGATTATTGAGACTGTATGGGGTCGTACGTATTGTATGTCGGTACTGTGAAAACAGTGACGCTTACCACAAACCGACAGATTTAAAGTGCGTTTTAAGATTTATAAGCTATATACATAGGCAATCACCTCAATTGACTAATAGATCACGTGACTGATCATATGCTCGTTTTATGTCGGTGAAGTGGTTCAAATGATATAAAGTGTTGTTTATGCTTAGCAATAAAGTGGAAATGATAGGTTTAGGGCAAATTGTATACTTTGGACTTCCGACTTTATTGAAATTTCTATGTCTCTGTCGGTGGCATAATATTTACAAAAAATAAGGTGAGTACACAATATCTTGCGAAGAAAATAATCGTACTTGACAATGCCATACGAATCAGATGTGACCATTAAGTTGTCGAAAAAATCAAAAACATGTGATAACTGAAAAATGTAGGTGGATATGAAATCTTTATCGCTTTAAGATCGTTTTTAAAAAGTTAATCTTCTATCGGCACTAGGAAAGCTTTTTCTGATAGCAGGCTCTAACCTTCGCTGTGACAAGGTTTTAGTGTTATAATCTATTAATGGAAGTATTTAAAGGGCTTTTGGTCTTTAGGAATTTATCGTGAATTGATGCTAAAAAGGCTTTTGACTACAAATACGTCCTTCTATTCTCTTAGTAAATATCATCCGTTTTATCAGATTTCCTAGATCCTTTCTTTCATGTTGGAATGAACTATTATTTTCAAAGTTGGTTTGAACTTGGTGTGATCGTCACTCTTATATTTTTTGGGTTAGCTTTGTGATTGAGCTTTTCGTCATTTAGTATTTGTCGATATTTGCCTTTATTTGACTGCAATTTTTGTAATTTCCTATTTGTCAGTTTGCATTCGTTCATCCATCCATCCACTTATGACCCTAAAACGACGATCATTCCAAGTGGATWGTCTGGAAGTAAGCGAAATGCTTGTTGTTTAATCGTGAAAAAATAATACAGCAAAATAAATAATAATAATAAACACTAAATTTCGATGATTCTTTCTTATAGCAAAAAGAAAAAATGCGTGACAGTCGTGACAGGCTCACGTGACATAATCTCATATTCGAAAGGAAAATAAGTTTGTACCACGACACACTGTGTGAATGTTTGTAATTTTAGAAAGTATGTACTGTTTTGGTAACCGTTATAGGTTTTATATTTTGAAATTAAAATTTTTAATGAAGTCAAAATTAAGGGTTAGAATGCATATGCAATATGRTTTATCTTCGTTCATAGAAACTGTTTTACATATTTATGTCTGTATCAGTTTCGTTTTTGCAATGCAGATTAAATCTTGTCTCAAAGATAATATAGAAATCCAGCTCATTTACTTTCTGTGTTTTCCACAATTTTGGTAGAGAGTTTTGCTSAAGTTGCTTATTTGAATTGATGATCACTAGTTTTCAAAGAARGTTTTTGTTGGTTTTTCACCGTGCATAAAAATGAAAATGTAATTATCGAATACGGTTTGGTATCTCAATTCACTTATCAAGAGCTGTTTCTTGTAGACCTTTGGTCTTGATAATGGTTGATGTGCATGCTCAAACTCATCCTATAAATGTTTATTGTGGCCGTACAGAATATTGATGTATTGATATACCACGTCCGCTTCTACTTTTACTTTGGTGTAAGAAAGAGTGCATTATTAGTGATTACCATAGGAGATCGAATGCTTACCTAACTAGTTCATGTAACCATGAAACAAGGCATATATCAAAGAAAGTTAGAAGTATCATTTTTCAGTGAATAGTAAGTTTCTGTTGCTCTGGTTCATTAGTATGGGAAAGTGGAGGTGTCGGGTTAAGAAGTGGAAAGGCCGTTTGGAGGGCAGAGGAGAGATGGAAAGGGTAACGTTAGAATGTCAATTCGTGAGTGGTCAATCGTCTGTCAGGCAAAACTGACAACAATTAATATGCTTTCATTCCCTGTAAAGAAAGCAAAATGCAGCCGTTCTCGGCACCAAGAYWTTTATTTTTGTGTTCATTTATTCACCATTCGACTATATATAAAACATCAAAAAGAACTATATAAGTTTYTTACAAGTAATACTACATTAATATTTTATAGCATGACTTCCAAATTTATTGTAAATGTGCTTTATTTAAATTTATCGTATTTCGCTGTTATATTTTTTTTATACCTATCATGAATAGGCGAACTTTAATGAAAGTCTATTTCTTGATTAATGATGGAATACGTTTGTTAGTGTTATCAGCTTAGTTTCTCCATGCACCATACACATTCTCAAAAGAGTATTATCATAAAAAACGGCTCATTGCACAATCATGGGATTTTATCCGAATCATTTTTCATAAAAAAATGATCTAAAGGAAGAAGGTAAATTCAAAGGACAGCTGTATCCGTGATCTCAACGTGCACCCATTTCTATTCTCAGTTACATTATTATTCGGATTTGTTTTCCTAGTTTTTTCTTATATTTTTTTATCATTTGGGTATTTTTTCATAATGCTAGATGATTGTTTAGAAAGACAAAGAATCACAGCAAATTCTTSGTGTTTTTAGAGAAATTACATCCATTTTGTCTTTATTTATTTTTCATTTTTTCTTGGAGTTGTTATTGAAGCTCAAGATATTTAATCAATTTGATACTGGACTTTCCAATGCAACTTATTGCCATTCCTTGAAATCGTACTTTCAATCCTTCAAAATATCGGTTAAAAAGAATATATAGTAGAACTAAAAACTAAAAAATGTTAAATCTAGTTTGCCTAAAATTAATGTATCTATTTCCTTCATGTTCTGACGCACATCAGACGCGATCTTAATTATTTTTTTACATGTTTTTCACCCAAAAACCTATACCAATAAAAATATTTGTAAATATGCTTGAGCCGCCATTCTCAAATGGCAAATTTTCTTAAATTTTCTGTTGGCGGCATTTCTGTATTAATTTGTATTTCCAACAGTGAAATATTGAGACTATTTGATGGTTATTCCCAGACGTTTCAAGTTATATACTTGTCGTCACCCTCACTCGAAAACAGGCGGTAAAAGTACATCATTTTTGACCCACTGAGTAAAGAAACAAAGGAGCTATTTTATTGAAATATTCATATYAGGTCATTCATAACTATTCATTCAAATATCAACACAAAAATGTGTTAAAGCTGAAAAAAAAGAAAATTCCCGATATTCAAAAATGAAACACATGTCTTTTGATAATAAAACGTTTGTATGGCGTTCATGAATTCTAAAAGCAATAGGAAATTCGTTCACAGGTAGCTTGACTGCTAATGAGCCATTTGTTTTACCCTATATTACCGATAGCATGCTAACATGTCAAGATACGCACAAAATTTGGCCTTAGATTGACTSCATCGCAAGCCTTTCACATGAAGTGGTAAGGGGATATATGTTTGGTCAATAAAATCTTTTAAAATCAAAATGAAGAGTTCAATTGAGACTCTAGCACGTCACCATRGGAAAGACTCGATGACCCTRGAACATGTCCGTTCGGGGTTTACGAAAATATTCAAGATAAGAAATTTAAAATAAGTAAAAAAAGATTTTGTTTCGTGCACATCTTCAACCACTTCAAGATTCGACAATAGTTGAGCGTGCTTGTCTTGATTAAAAAATAGAGTGCTGCGAGAAACATCCGCCGAGAAAAACAGCTGCTTGACCACGTGACTCATGGTAATAGTATGATATAAAGTGGGCACTATCGGTCACTGCGCTTGTAGTTCACTGTTCCCTACACACTGATCGCAACTGAAATGGCTTCGAACCATACTAACAACAGTGAAGTGATGATCCCTCTCTTTAGACATACRTTTATTTTCTGGYATGTTTTTATTATCGTTAYTGGCGGCGTCGCTAATCTCTGCGTTTTGACTGCGTTTTTCAATGTGGTTAAACTTCGCACTAAAGTAAACTATTTCCTTGTGAGTCTGGCGTTTTCTGATTTGACGTTACAGTGCGCCATTCTTCCCATTGAMTTAGACTGGTTCATCAGGACTGAGTTTATACATTCAGTCACCGTCTGTGAATTTACTTATACCATGCATTTCTTGACCATGTCGTGCTCGTGTTTGAATCTGTTGGCAGTGAGTGGTTATCGATATTTAACTATCTGCCATCCCTTTGTATCTAAACGTATTACCAAGAAACAAGTGATTTCGGCAGTGGCACTCATATGGCTCTACTCGACATTAACAGCCCTTCTTCCTCTCATGGGTTGGCGTTCTGGACCAAGCTCAGTGGAGGGTAAGACATGTATTTACACGTACGAGGCTGAGTATRGTCTGTTCATCATTAGTGTAAACTGGTTCTTTCCAGCTCTGACAGTATTTGTCATATACGGACTTGTCTTTCGCATCGCAAGAATCCAAGCCGAGAAAATTGCAAAGAATGAGATCGTCCTTGAACAAACAGACAAGAAGCGACGAAGCTACCTCCTTAAGGGTGCCATTAGCCTAGCTAAGATCTTCGCCGTCTATGTGATTTGTTGGCTTCCATACATAATCAAAGCGTTCATAAGTCAAATCCCAGATATTCCATATGATTCGATCAAAGTACCTCTAGAGTATCACTATGCTATGGTGTTACTGTCTTATTCCAACACCGCCATTAATCCGTTCCTGTATGCTGGTCTCTGCGAAGACTTTAACATTGCTTTCAAACGATATTTCCACCGACTCTCACACGCTCTGCAGTCTCTTTTCGAATCGGCTCGGCACACCCTAAGGAACTCGGTAAATCGGCAAAGTAGCTCAAGTAGTCACCAACCTGCACATGAATCACCTGTGCGGTATACCAATGGCGAGTCAGCCTCGTCAACTTACCAACAAGTTATTACCATTGTCAGCTCAGCAAACTGATAAATGCATTTATCTAATTTCAACGGACACTTACTCTCCAAGGGAAGATGATGGACACCACACCTGAGGCAACAATCCACACTTTGCTAACAATTAGTACAAGGAGACAAACCACTTTAAACCTGTGCTAAATGGATCTCTCGACGTATTACAAGTGTTAGCCGTGTCAACATTGAAGATCTATCCACCGTTAATAAGCGGTATTCACCCACTTCAAACTCTTTCGATAGCATAATGAATTTTTCAGTGTTGTTATCGTGTTCTTGAGGAGCCAGACAATGTTCTGATCGTGGTGTACYGTACCACAAACTTATCAAAAACATCGATCAATTAAAGATGAATCACTGTTTTTGGGAAAAAAATCAGTCTTGCCCACATACATTGTAAACATGGTTTAAATCACGTGACAATTCGTTTGAATCGATTATAAAGAGATGGCTGCGGCAGACCAGACAGTTATTCTAGAGAAGTCATTCTGGCATAGTGTGTTCTCAAATAAATCAACGCTATTTGACTTAGAGGTAATGTTCGTGCTCACACCAAGCCACATGTGAGAAATTAGCATGGACATACATTGTGCACGTCTCTGCATGTCTGACAAGAATGCTTACTTTGTATTTCAATACTTGTTAAGTCRTGTTTGGATTTTTAGAGTCGATCTAAGATAGCCATATYAAAACATTGCCAAAGTTCAAAAACAACCATTAAAAACATGGCAAACGTGACCATTTTAATTACCTGCCATGAACTTCGAAATTAAGTACTTCACAATTTATCATACATACGGAGAGCGAAAAATTAGTGATATTTCTAGAGCAATTATGTTGCTGTTATGTGCTGTGGCGCCTCGAATCCGTGAAAAATATTATTAGCAATTTGTTCATCATACTACACTCGCCACTCGCTGCTGATTTATTGAACAATTCGAAAGCATAATTAAAAATATGAAGGGATTGGAAATTGCGATTCAACAAAAGGATCTAAAGCAGATGTTTAATGAAAGACATCGAATAGAAAATAACATCAAATATGAAAAGAAATCGTGATTAAGAGATCAATGAAAAATGTCGTGAACGCTTAGTTAGTCTTTAATTTAAGGTGCGTGAAGAATTACTTTTTCAAATATAGGCTGGAAAATTAATAAATGGATTTAAGAGACAAAACTTCCGTTCGGCTTTGTGTAAAATACAGCTAAAGGTGAACAAGCACATGAAAAAGACGGCAGACCATTTTAGTAAAATGATTGGAAAGCTTATCGATGAAATTGAAATAGAGATTTGTATGTTTAATCTGTGTCTTTCGGTCGTACATAATTACTACCTATGAAAAACCACAGTCAAAAACAGAATTCTCTTTTGACAATAGTATGAAATTAAAAATATGGTCGATGAAAATTGACATAATTTATTTCAATATGAATTGGTATCCTCATATTAATATCAGTAACCACTGATCAACAATATTTGAAAGTAGCAGTAAAATACGATGGGAACATATAAAATGAAAAACCATTAGCTGGATACACGTCGTTCCAGCCATTGTTCTAATATACTGCAATAGCTCTTCATAACAGAGATTTAGGACCTTTAGTGTTGATTATCTTCTGATGGACGGATGTCCACAAATCCCTCTTTGCCTAAAGCTATGTCGATGTTTTCGTGTAAATACGTTTTGCTTTAGTTTACTAAGATATAGAAGTTTGGCGGAAAGCCAGTTATATAATTTTCTGTAAATAAATAAATCGGTGTTTCATAATTGCGGAAACATAARGAATGCATGAAACTACTTTTGTAAGATGAAACGAACAAAAGCGTAAATGGACAAATGGGAAATATGGCTGAATATATGAGCTAATGACTGAACAGCAGCGTTTTATAATGGATGATTCATCAGCGAAGATTTTCTATTATCAAAGTGATATTTGCTTCAATAATTGATTGCATTTTTGAGTCTCTTTACGAGATAGTATAAAAAACTGAAGAGATGAGTGGATAGATGGATGAATCGTTTGAACAATGAAACACAAAATGAAAGATAATCGACTTAATACATTAATAAATGTAAAACTGATCCTTTTAATTGACGATTGAATCGATGAATMGATAGACTAATGAACAAGTGAACAGAAGGATGAATCTTTGACGACTATCCCTGAATACAGAAATAGATTCGAAAACGACTGAAGTACCACTCATTGTATTAAGTGCTTGATTTCTTGCCGAAACACTGCATTATTACCCARTATATTTTAAAAATACCCTACGTTCGAATCCGCTTTAAGAATTAAATGATATATATAAAGGTACTGAAAGAGTTTTGCTGAAGAAGGCCGAAGTGCCGAACGTTCGAATAAAGAGTAGAAATACTAGTTGCAAGTTGTGTGGCTTTTTCTTCAATTTATTCAATTTATAAAGGTACTGAAAGATATAAATATCATTAAATGGTTTCATCTGAATATGTAAATACTCTAATATACAGCAATATGCAGAWATTATGATCATTTTGACTCATATTTCAAGAATATATGAAATATATCAGAAATTATGGGATATCATAGCCAATATTTTTTGTCAGAAAGTACTAGTGCTAGGCCACTTCAAAGAAATATTGGCGATGATATTCCATAATTTCTGATGTATTTTCTATATACTTGAAATATGAGTCAAAATGATCATAATTTCTGCATATTGCTGTATCCTAATATTAGTGTGATATATATTATTGTATACAATGTATTTAGCTATAGTTGTTTGTGGTGTAATAATTAATGGTGAAATAAAAATCTATGAATAGTTAATTCATGTGTTGGATAAAAATTGCTCCATAAGGGCGAATACGTGCAATAGCTCACAGATTTATCGCAAACGACGATAAGATACCCTATTAAATCAAAGATTTCTTTATAATGTCATCAGAAACTGAGAGGAAATATAGGGCTAATAAACAATGAATGGTTTGTACAATCATCAGTTACTAACAAACAACCCCAAGATGGTTTGTTTGTTATTGGGACTCCAGCCGAGACTTTCATTTTGCTCAATTACTTTCGAATTTTTTATGTTTTACTCACAAACGGTGACTAAATATGTTGTGTTCTAGAAAATTGGAGAAAATTACTGCTGCCTGCTGTGTTCTCGAGTTGTTTTCTATTTAGTGTTTATTTTTCATATTTGTTTTTTGTTTTGTTTTTCTGTTTGTTTCTTTTCTCCCGGGAATGTACGAGCTATACAAGGATGAAAATATGAGAATCGCAGCAAAAGGTATTTCAGGCTCTTCTCCTTTTGATTTGTCTTTTCAGTAAAGTGTTTTTAAAAGCTGTCAGTATATTCTTCGTTTTAAAGAAGAGAAAATACTGGCTTTTCTATACATCCGACCGCTCTATTATTTCTCTTCTAGTGTACATCTATATATTCCGAAATGGATGTGTTTTTGCGTCCAAGCAAAAGCTGCATTTGCTCCTAAAAGTGATGTTGTTTTTTTTCAGTAATATAATTTGTTCTTGTTGTACAGATGATATTGATAGTCTATATATAAGTCGTAAAAGACGATCGTAAGAGCTTTACTGCTAAGTCTAATGCACATTATTTAGCAAACTACATTTTCGTCAATGGAATTCAGATTTTTTGAAACCCCCCTAGTATTGCGTGTATGTGGTTAATAGACGACATCGAACGCCCTTTCTTTAATCGTACTTATGGTCATTACCTCTTATCCTGTTTGCTTTGTATTTTAAAGCGTCTTATCTTTATTGTGTGGTATGATTTATTTTTCGCAAAGACAGGCCGACTAAAATGCTCACAAAACCAGCACAATTCAATTTTCAATAAAAACGAAACTTCAACTCCATGTATTGCACTAATTTGATTGTGAAGAGGACGCTAGATTCATACAAAAATATCATTACTTTGACGTCTTGTCTTTTTTGAATTACGAAGTGTCATTTTTAATATAAAGATTGACAGTGACATTTAAAAAGGAACAATTACAAGTTTTTGTGAATACTAACCCTGCTCGCATAACTAACGGTGTAATACACTCTTTTATAAATTATAATACTGCATGGTATGTGGACTTAAGTTTGCTATCTTTTTTTCAGTTTCTTTTGCGGAAATGGATTTTTTATTGACTTTCAGTCTTCTTTTTAAACGACCTTTTATGTTTGTAACTGCGGACAGTAAGTCCTTAGATAAATAGATATCTCTGTTCTGCCGCAAATGCAGTACTTAATGAAGTGATTGTGTTGATCTACAAGTAGAGCAACTCATTCAATATTATTAACCGCCTTCCTAAACTTATTGAGACCTTCCCTTAAAACATTATACTATAGATACAAAATCATCCCATTTCACTCCTCTAAAGGCTATCGTCGTTACTATCTGTTACCGAATATAACCTTTTATTATTCCACTGAAAAGTGCAAATCATCGCGGTCTTGGGGCAGTGGGTATTTTTTCCTGTGGTTTGCGGTGTTTTTAAAATGTTGTATCGCGATTTTAATGGGATATTAGGTTTGATGAAATCAAAAGCGTTAAATAACAGAGAAAGTGTGACGCAAAAATTTGGAATATTTCCCATAATTAAACTAAAGGTTTGATACTCCTACCTGAGGTTCTGGCCACCGTTTAGAGAAATAGGTCGTTTTATTCGAATAAATGTAACCATCAATTTTGTCTGTGTTACGTACAAATTTCTTCAACCTWTCAAAGTAGATACCATAAGAAAAATACTAAGATGTTTGATATAAGCTGAAGACAAATATAAGAAAGATGTACTCAGTGGTATAAATTGTTAGAATGAGTGTTGACTGTTGATGTTTTGAGAGTTTGATTTGTAGCTTGGTAGAGGGATCATTTTCGATTTAGTGAGATGCCATATAATTGCTCTTGGGTGGTAGCWAACTGTGCGATTTACGACCAGGCTACCATACCTCTTCAGAGAGGTGACTCAAAGTGAGTGGTTAGTCCAATAATGTAGTGCATTTCCTGATGACTAATTCACAATACCAGAACACTAAGTGTAAGTATTATATCCACTTTAATGTGTATTCACCTTCTATTGTTAGTATAAAGGGAGACATCCAGAATTGCAGTGTTCTTGTTGTTGATCTTTATTGGATCAAAGAGGTATTCTTTCTCACATCCCTTATTGGATGAAAGCCGTTATCGGATCTTGCATCTTAGCCTTCTGCACTCAAATGATCAAATTGTAGCATAGTAATTCATTTAGAATCTCGTTTTTACAGTACTATCTTATTACGGCACAATTATAATTTATCATGTCTTGAAGAGCATTTGATTTGCAGAAGTGCTTTTGATTATAATATGTTGGACTTAATAACTAGTACACCACACCCATAATACCTTGTGTCTCTATTATGAACGAATGTGATTTTCTTAGAAAACAGAAGTCCGCGATGCATTGTGGTAATGAACGGTTTCAGAGTTTACAGATCTTCGTGGGAGATGATTACACCATGTGTCGGTAGAGTTCGTTTTCCCACCTCCATGATAGCTAATCGGAGCGGGACGACTTATCGCAAAGCTGTAGAAAAACTATGCAAATCGTAAGATAAACAAAAGTGTACTTGAGGAAAACACTTGTGCTATTAAGTGAGTGGGTTAAGAACACTTAAAGATCTTATTTTTTTTGGAAGTTATTATGTCTTTTACTTAATCAAGAGCTGTGTGTCTAGTATTCTATTGATGCCTGACAATGACTGGTCATTTCATTGAGCACTATCAATTTTATGTGGTGATTTATGTGCTGTTTACATTYATTTAKGACTCAGAAAATCTTGGTTACTAAGCACGTCTTATTCTCTTAAACAAAGGGTTCGTTTTTCCTTATTTGCATTTGTCTTGATATACGTTTTGCYTTTTTGTCATCTTTTCTTTTGTCTTTTTTCCCCTAATTTGGTTGTAAATATCCTTCCATGATACATAACAGTGTATTTTCGTGAAGCTGTAATGCATCTGTAAATTAAGAACGTGACGATCAAGTGAATGAACTTGAACGTTTTTATTATTTCAAGTACCTTGAATTTTGTTAATGCGTCATAAGAAGTTTTTACTGTTGTCGAAGACCGCAAGTGCTGTCTGTGACAAACGCAGGTGCTTTATGTCGATATGCCGGTTGTTTTCCAATGGCTATTCGTGATATTTGACMCAGAAAACGGCAAATCTTGAACTATTTAATGAAATATTCCAATATCACCTCGGGTTTTATTGCTGTTAAAAAAACAGTCCATTTGTAAATATTATTGCTGAATACTCCCACGAGGATTTGTTTTGTAAAAACATTAAAAAAATATTTCACAATAAATAACAAGAAAATATCAGAAGTGTATGCACGTTTGAAAGTACTTGTGTGTATTTTCAATAAATCCGAGGTAAAGGAACTTAGAATTAATAGAAGTAAATAAGTAGACAATTTAYATTTCCGGTCATGAATTCATTCATTATTCTCTCTGTCCGTCCATTGATCCATCCGTTTCGTCTCTCGAGGCTACCAGACGTATTTAATCCATGTAAACACACTGACCACTGCATCATTCGATAACCGTATTTTTGTCATACTATTGAAACAACAATCATGGGAAGACGACCACAGTTGAAACATATTTATAATATATGAGTTATGCGATAGCTATCATACTTTAATTGACTTCACAAATTATCTTTTCCTAAATGGACTTTATTATGGTATCTTCCTTCTAAGAGATATTTTTGTTTAATAACTATTTTCTACACTTACACTAGATCAATCTACTTTCTTTTGATTTTAATTTGCTCAAGCGTGCTGTCCAAAAGCTTTATAATAAAAAAATGCACGATTCCACTGGATTACAGAGGAAGATAGATACCGTCAAGGTGTACCATAGGAGGTAGGGAGGGCAGTATTATTCCCCTAACTTTCTTCCCTTTGGTTTTCTCTCATTATATTGCATAATATGATGCTAGTCACAGATTGTTTCTCATCGCCTTTCCAGCATTTAGTCTTTGTACAGGGTATATATTAGAGTCTCGAGATATTTATTTCTTTTTGTCATCTTCTCTAACACAGATTTCATGGACACCAAATATTCTGAAATGGAATTGTAGTGTTATTAACCACAGATAAAAAGATATGATCATTAATTYCACTGAATATATGACGATTGCTTACCCGACTTGTTTGCACATCAATCCCTCTTTGCATGGGCCACATGATCGTTGTACTTGAGCACCGACGTAGACATTCTTGAAAAAGTTAATAGGACCACAGACCATGTTCTCTTCTAGAGGAGGTTTACATACCGATATATGCGGGTTGATCGCAGGCTCTCTAAACACAATACTCTCGTTAGTTTAAAATCACAAACAATTCTAATGCTAGTATATTTTACCTCACACAGCATGTTCCTGGTGGATCTCTACAGTCGTCATGACGATCACAAAATGTTCCTGGAGAGCCTTCCTGGGCGTCTTTCTTACATCGACCGTAAGTACATTGTCCTGCACAACATTGTCCATTTTGTGTACACGCAACATTCTCTTTTAGACAATGTACACATAAGAACATATGGCAATAACGACCTGAAAAGAACATGATTATTGTGTTAATATGGAACTTCAYTGATACGACCAAATAAACCAGAGTAGTCCCATTAGTCGAGGTCCGTACTAAGACAGTAGATTTAGCGAGGCTCCACTGTAGTGGATGATTGTAATGGTAGTAGGATTAAACGACAGAAGTTGCAATGACGATGATGATGTTTGTGTTTTAATGATGGTGGTGGCAAACATACCTTTATCACACGGTTTGTGAGCGTTGCATTCCTGTGAGTAGTATCCAGGTGACAACATACGTGGACGAGGTTTTTCTACACCAGCGCCCACCATTGACATTTCATCGAAGGGAGACGCAGGCATAAACATCTGAGCAAACATACAGTCATTTGTTAAATGTTCATACCATTTATTATATCTTGACATTGCTTTATATCTCATGTTGTTAGAAATCAATGAACTGCTATTCTAGTCAATATTATGGTGAGGTCAGAAAACCCGTGAAATAGATAAGCTAATCACATTTGTTTCTCTTTATCGATTTGACTATCACACCAATTTTGCTTCACGGGCTTAAAGGCCTTAATCTGTAGCTATTATAATAAATTAACCATCTAATTATTTGCTCCTTGTCATTTTTTGCTCATTCATTTATTCGTTAATTGATAAATTAAGTTCATAGGTAATGATAAAGTACTGAAATATCGACACTGAACGTAAATCCATCCGACGATATATCTGTTTTCTTGGATACAYTTTTTTCCCTTTCACTTGATGTAGCCATTGTAACATTAGAATGGGCGTGATTTCAAATTTCTTTCGTATCGTGACATCTGTGTTTTTGTTTTCACTCACAGTACAATAATCAAACATATTAACCGCTGGACGTAGTCCTTGATTCTCTGTTATGTAGGATACATTTCTACACGATTATATCGTGCTGGTATTAAAAACAAGATACCTATTCATAACATCGAACGACTATTTTGTCTAAGCATCGATCGATTAAAATCATGGGGTGTGTTTGTTTAAGTCTTTCAATGTTGTTATTTTGAAAAATTGACTGTGATCCTTTGATCAATATGATTTCAAATCTTCGATCGCTTAAATAAGTGTTTTAAGAAGCTAACCTGCCCATCATATAAAAGTTTATTTCTATTTTTTTTTTAATTTTAACTTGAAAAAGATAGGTTTGTAGTATATCAAATATCGTTTTATATTAGATGATGTAACTTACTTTTCGAAACAGTTCTTGTTGTGGAATAGCTCTGCTTACTCGTTCTTTTTTAAGTCCTTTTACTGCAATTGCTCCATTGATTAACGGTAAAATCCATAGATGAACTAAAGTGAACACCAATAAAGACCAAACTATTTTCTTTCTGTCCATAATAACGATAAAAAGTTAAAAGGAACTAAGAGTTCCGTTGAGGGTTTTTTTCTCTCCAATCTTCCCCAATAGCTCGTTAATGTGTCACCGTATTACTATTTAATATCTTATCTATAATTCATTATATTTTGWAGAAAAACTTTATGTAAAACCCAAATAGAAAATAATGTCAGCGCCACAGTAACTCTATCATCAGGCAATTTGTACTGTGATATATATTTGGAAAGTAAGTAATGAGAACGAAGATTGTTTAAAATGAAGTTTTGAGGCGTTTGATATCGGTGTGATCTTAAAACAGGTACCTGTCTTGTGAACTGCAGAGACCTTTTTAACCATATGACCTCTATGTAGCGACCATACCTCGATAAATCGACCAGGTAAACAAATTTTCTGTACTGTTTAGGTCGACATCGACATGATTAGCCGAAGAATACCTCTTTTATCATCGACCACGTGCTGACTAGCTTTACACAAAAATCGAATRAAGTATCAGTATCACAGAAGATCTGATTATTTATCAGTATACATACATGCATACCTACAGTAATCATAGTATATGCGATGCTATAGAATGGAAACACCCCTCTTTCCCAGTTCTTATCCCCCCTACCCACGGCCCGTGGGTCTCAAGATAGGATTTCAACTTCAAACACCGTACAATCCAATAATCCTAATCAAGCTTACTCACATGATTTTCATTAACAATTATTAGATATGATGCCCTCTGAAGTCTTTAAATATTGATAAAGTCACTTATATACCTGCACAATTTCAGTTCTATTCGAATATTTGATATATAATGAGATGTTTCTATGCCATGTTGATAACGRCTTTCGTAGCTTTTCTTTGGTTGGATAAAACATGTTTTGGAGTACAGTACGGGACAACAAAAGATCAGTCAGCGTCAAAACGAGTAAAGTACCGTTCCTTTCAGTTACTGATTTAMATCGATTTCAGGTTTATAAGATTGCCATATCTAGTGAAAATCCAGACATGCAGTAGATATAAGCAAACCTTAAATATGTGCACAAAGAAAAGCCAGATCAACTAGATCAAAGAGGTTACGTTGATCATGACACTAACACGGGTCAGTTAGTCTGAACAAATGGTTGATTTGATTTTTCGAACAGTTCTGTGAAACTGATTGCAGCGTATATTGTTAACTATACCATTGTCCACAATTATTGTCCTATTCTGCTTTCTTTATATGCAAACACTATTTTGATAGTCTTGTGCGTCACACGAAAACTTTGTTTGTTCTTCCTCAGCAATATCTGTTTCGCAATATGGCCAACATGTTTTCACCATTAGGATATCGTAGCCAATTTTCTTCGACGGATGAGGTAGAAGAGTGCAATGTAAACAAAGCATGTCTYGCTGACCAGTTCTGTGATTTCCACGTGTGTCGATCATGTCTTCGAGAAAATCTTGCTTGCCACTTTATAGGTAAGGTGCATTTATCGTGATTTTGTGCCCAATGTGAATGTCTTCATGCTCTAATAATGTACAACCGACCTTTTAGGTACATGTTGTAAGGGGCTTGCGTGTCAGTACGGTCGATGCACCAAGAATGTCCAACAGGGTTCACCAGGCACGTACTGTGATAAAGCGTCAGACTGTGATTCTAGCAGCTGCTGTATCCGAGAGATTTCTGTTAACCCAAAGACATCCGTGTGTAAGCCAATGCTTGACGAATATGAGTCTTGTGGTCCAATTAATCTTTTTCGACAAATCTACAATGGAGGAAAAGTAGAGCCTGCATGCGGACCTTGCAAACCTGGACTCCAATGTAAAAATGTTGGGTATGTGAAGTTTTGCTRCCGGTAGAGTACAAATACTAAAAGCGTGAAAAAGTACCAACCAAACAGTTCTAAATAGCGCAATATAGTGTACATATACAATAAAAAACAAATGAATAATTATGTACAATTCAGCACTCAGCACTATTTAATAACTAAAGGTTTTTTCATGGTTTTATTGTCTTCACTCTACTGGTCCTTTAAATAAGCGTTAATATGAAATATGCAGCTCCAGATTGCGCACGCCTTGACGCTATATAGTCAACGCCTTTTTGTTGCAACCACCCAACGTATCGCGTATAAGACATCTAACGCCTTGGTATTGCAAACATTGCTATATGGAGAGGGTAAACTAGTACTCATGGAAACACACTTTTTTATTGCTCCCCTATTACTGAATCCTATTGTTAGGTTTATAAGTGTTTGCCAATTGTTTTTTCAACCAMTCATGAGATTTACAAAGATGTAGCAAAGTACACTATAAAATCATGAGATTTTTTTCAAATGATGAGAAAGCCTATATACTGTTCATATAAACAAATCATTCATTTTTTCTGCTGTTAACAGAACCATTGGTCTTCATTTCGTGTGTCTGAAAGAGGAGGAAACATAAAATTTGGAGCGATTTGGATACATATCTCCACAATTACCTCGTTTCTCTGTTATTTTGGAAGGACATTTGCTAGTTGAATATTTGTACATGTCAAGATACTCACAATATTACTGCACTTCCCATGTGGTCATATAGACATTCTAACTCACAGAGAGCTAATCAGACCTATCTCAATTGTTCTATGGCATAATTACGAACATCAAAACATATTATTGCTTTGAAGCTAAGAATTATGGTTGCCWGAGGGKGATAGAATGACTGCATATCAAAGAAAATGTCGTTGAGAACATCGTAAATACATAGTATATATCTTAGTGTAGTAAGCTACTGAAATTGAAGCAGTGTGTTTATCAAAAAACAAGACGAATACGATTGTAGTTAATAATTTATTATAAGAACGCAAAATAGTTTTACTTTTAAATACAGAAGAGAAGTTCTATATAACCGTCATATATAGGATACTGCCTAATTATTCCATGTTACAACCAGGAAATGCCATTCAGTGCCAATGATTATTGCAAGTGTTCAAAATGAAAAGGAAAAAWAMCGCTCCAAAGGCTTTGTATATTACAGGTTCAATACCTAGGACTTCGATATCATATAAGAATGGTAAAACAGCTAAGGTTTTGAAATGATTATTTGTTGCTTATTTCTTGTCGTTTTGCTCTTGGTGCACTTCCTCCAGCCTGCGGTAAACAAACTTGATGAACACCAAATATCCTGAAACAAAACAAAATCACAGAATGATAGTGAATAGATTGTGAATTCCTTCRAAAAGTTGAGGTACTTGTCTGGCTGCAAGTACTGTAAGGCTTTAGGGGACACTTACCCTACTTGTTTACAAGTTAAGCCCTGTTTACAAGGTCCGCAGGCTGGCTGTACTGTGCCTCCACTATAGACAGTCCTGTATTGATTATAGGGACCACATGTCTGATGTTCATCCAAAGCAGCTTTACAGATTGATATGATAGGGTTTATTGCGGGCTCACGGACACAACAAAGATCTTGATCTTTACAATCACTTTGACGATCGCAGAATGTACCTTATAAATTGATCACATACGATTAATACATACTTTTATTTTGGTTCGGTCGTAATCATAATCATAGTCACTGTCATCATATCATCAGTTTCTACTGACCTGCCTGTCCAGGCTTGGCCCCAGACCTACATCGACCGTAAACACATTCGGACCCAGGACAGCACTGGCCATTTTGTGTGCAAGCGACGTTTTCTTTGAGACAGTCAACACAGAGGAACATATGACAGTACTTAACAGAATCTTTGCAGGGCTTGTGGGCGTTACATTCTTGACTATAATAACCAGGAGTAATAGCCTGGGAACGAGATTGAAGCATAACCGACTTTCAACACAGAATGAGAATAATATTATTAATACTATTATACTGTCATATGATAAATACTATGGTAATTGTAGAGTACAAACACTAAAACTGTGCAACATAAATGCCACTAAATACTGCTAAATTATGCTAATTCTATTGTTTTCTATTGTTTAATTAACACTATTTTGTAGTAAATAGTGGYRAGWKTTGCACAYATTTGATGTTTGTACTCTATAGCTGTAGTATAATTTTTAGCTATTTGTTATTAGCTATTTTGATTTTATTTGAAGGTTGAAGTACGTCTGCTCTATCACTGCATGTTCTAAGGAAAAGCGGTTCGCACTGGTAACCCTCCTGTCTTATCGTAGACCTGACGGTGTTCTGTTTTGGCTCGTTAACAGACCCTGTCGCAGAAGGAGTCTTCTGTTGTGAAACGTTTGAGGAAGTGAGTCCTATTAGGTACCGGGCAAGCTAAAGAGGTAGCGCAGAAGATCGCTTCAAGGTACAACTATTGGAGGACAGTTGTATGATTGAAGGGAGGAGCATGCCTATACCCCCTGTATGGAATATTTTTTTATATATCTTTAGCTATGCAGGATAATCAGATTGGTACWCTGCCTACGGGAACAAGCAATTAAATTTAAAAAGCTACACAGATTTTTATCAATATTGTAAAGTAAAATACCTCCCTACACTTATTAGTCAAGGGATACCATTATTGGCCAAATAAATTAAGATTCCGCATTCTTGACTAAGACATCTTATAACTAGYGGCTCTGTTTTGAATATGTCTATCGAGAAACTTTGTAGTTTTGAACAACACAGAGATGATAATAAGTGCAGTATACCACAGTTTAAGACATAATAGGTCTAAAGAAATAATTGGTTCACCTACCCGTTCCTCTCTGTCTAGTTGTGATTTGTTAATCTTTGAACCATTCACATAAATTATGACAAYACAAACTAATAGAACAACCGGCCTAGGCATATCTGTAAAAACCTAAACCATAACAATAATATTTAGAAGWAAAACGAGTTGGCAGCGCTGTTGTGATGGCTGTGGTTATTTATTTATTKATTGATTGTGTAAGCGACCAGGACAGGTAGAAAACGGGTTTTTGACCTTTCTTCTGGTGGCTGTCATCATCGCTGAGTAGCGAAAAATTTCATAATTATGTTAAAGTAACATTATCTTCTTTCACAGGTAAATCTACTGAAATCTGGAAAAGGGAAAAARTGGTTGGAAACAAATGGGACAGTTGTAAGTGAAAACGAAACATGCTCATTTCTATAATGGCGATATTCACGATGACGTCACATACCACGACTACCAGAATGCTTTGYCTACTTTGCTTTACTTATCTTCAAAGGTAATAAAAGGTCGAATAACAATGAAAATACGCAGAGCATTCTGGTAGTCGTGGTAGCCGTCACAATGCATTATTATCCACCTATTATCGAATAGACTGCGGTAAAACCATTGCAGGCCATCATAGGRTCTGATGCAAATTGTTACTATTTATATCTTAAAATAATTTTTTCCAAAATAACTGCTTACACTATTTGAAGTTTTGTGGAGTAATTAAAAAAGAGTCGAATTTATAGAAGTCTGCATATATGAACGACTGTCGGCGCACAATAGAAGTATGAATTGCCAGCATCTGTCAGTATACTATTCGTAACATTGTTCGGATAGTCTAGCTTGTATCACTTTCTTTCTAGTTATTTTATCTGAAAGATAAAGTCATTTTTTGTTATCCTTGTTTTCGTTTCCTGTATTGCGTTATATGTTGATTTGCTCTCTCTTTCACCACATTTCCCTTATTTACCTTTCTTAATTATTTTTTCCATCTCTACATAACACAACCGTCCGCGGCGTGCTTCCAAAATTGACACTCGARGTTAACCTTCAACAACATGATTACAATTATTTTTTTCATCTCTACATAATATAACCGTCCGCCTGATTACAAGATTGACACTCGAGGTTAACCTTCAACTAGATAATTACGGAAGTCCTCGCTATTCTTTTCATTTGTGTCGATTAGTGTGCTAGGGGCGGATACAAAACCATCTAAACTTGTTATTGCAATGCGCATTGTAGCTCAAAGGAGAGTGAGTGAAGAGTGACTTTCGCTTAACTTTTTTTGGTGTAAGCCTTTGTGMTATTATCTTCTCTTTGTTCTATCGTTAATTGTTATTTGCCGAGTTCGTCCTTCTTTAGCAAACACAAATCTGGTTGTTTTCCGAGTTTGATTTGTTTCTCTTCAAGAATGACAAGATCTAAACGTTTTATTTTGGGAGTCAGCCTCTTTTGTCTTCCCTCAGCAAACACCATTATATTTTCATCTGTCATAGCATGCAAACATCTGAGCCTTTCTGATTTGGTAACGATCTTTTCGATGACGTTTTTCCTTTACCTATTGACTCTCATCGTATGCTCTTAACTCAAAAGTTTCCTCGAATTTTTTAGACCGATTAAACAAAAGTTGTTACTTTGTGTAGCATTCATTTGCGGTGTTGTTTGACTAGTAGTCTACTTCTTGTCTAATGATCAGCGGATATCCTAGTGTCAGAGGATTTCACCATAAAACTGCCCCGACACGTCACGAACAGTGTAATTGGTCCACTGTTTTTATTATCTGTAAAAATTTTGTCATGACAAACACAATAACGAAGCGCCCATTAGACAGGACCGTATGATTCTAGATGAATACAGCAAAGAGCAGATGTTGAAGTGAATTTCATGAGAATGGCGTGCATAGTATGGGTTGTACTTCTGCAATTGTCCATTACGATGGCTAAGGGAGGTCAGCAATAACAACCATCCATACAATACATTGATCATTCATTATTTGTTGTCACTAGTCAGTTATTATACTCAAAATTAACCTTAGTCTTATATAGGAAAGTGCTTTATCTACAACTGCATGCTTTTTATGACCTGAACGGCATTTCAAAACTGAGCTGCAAACATTTATATTTAGSCTAGATTTTTTATAAAATGTACATAATCTATTACTATAAATATAGAGCATACAGGTTTTTATTGAAATATGGCTCTTTACAATAGAGAAAAAGTCTAAGAATATGATAAACCTAATAATAATTGGAAAATTCAATTGACAGTCCACGCTTTTTGTTCGTGAAATTCAGCAAATCCAGTTTTTTTTTCGTAAATGTCATGCGTCCTTTATTCTGGTCATTTTGCTGGAACATGACGGAAATTGCAACGATGTCTGGTCTTATATAATTTCTCTAGCTACTTCTATCTTCCTTTTCAAGTTTCAGCATCTGTCTGCATTTAATGCTTATAGTATAGCAATAAACAAGCGCTGTATAAATATTTTGTTATTATTTTATTATAATCTTTCCTCGTTTCTTCTTTTCCAATATGTCTATTTTTCTTTGCGTTTTATCTGTTCATTACCAGTGACTCTTAACTTTCAAGGTGATCAAACTCGAGCTCGATTCTATTAATTCAATAGCTCTCTTGTCAAAKAGCGGCGACCTAAAGTTTTCAAAGCTTTTTCTATTATATTGATTCACCTGATGAATCTTCTCCGGTGTTATTATTAATCCTTTCTCTCTTTTTTATTCATTAATTTCATTTTTCGTTGCTTGCCTCATATCTGACACTGATCCACTCAATTCCTCTTTCTTCCTTTTAAAATTTCTAAATCGCATTTAGTGTGTTTTACAATGTACTTCTACTCATTTCCAAAAACAACAGATTGTCAGTTTATGCAGGCTATTTTTAATTTTAGAATTGTGTAAGGAATACGGGAAATTCATTTCGTAAAAGAAACAGATCACATTCCCAGATTGAACTTGATCTTCAAAAGTGTGTCAATATTTAATGTAGATGTACACGTACGTTGTTTAATTTCGCTGTTTGTTTGCTTTTTAATTTTCAAAGTTTTCCACTTAACCATTACAAGACCTTTCGATGTCGCCCCAAAATATGCGCTGCTTGTCACGCTTTTTACATCTTTTCAATACAATTTAGATGTTTTTTCTCACTCTTTGCCTCAAGTGCCAGCATATCTCCTTTATAAGAAAATGATGCCAAAAAAGTGAATTCGGAATTCGCCAAACTTAATAAAACTTTGTTCTGCAAATGGTGATGCATGAGCTGACCATTTAGCTTTCAGGAGGCTTCGTTCTAACCTTTCCCCTTGTTTTTACTTTTCATGGAATTCTCTAAAAAGTCATGTAAAGACCTGATCACTCCAGCAATCCGTAATCGAAAATCTCCAACAATCGTCTTCAATAATAATATTTAAACAGTTACCTTTTTGACAGGAAAAACCGGYTGTGGGACCAACGCCCATATTGTTATTGCCATCGATTCTACTAAAAGGACGACGACAAGCATCTTTGAAGATCAAAAAGAGATCGTTAAAGGGGTGCTCAACTTAGTTAAAATCAAGTATGCCTTGGTTGTATACACCGGAGACAATGCCTGGACGTACAAAGATTTTGGTGTCGACCATTCAATTAACGGTGCAAGCCTCTCGCGATTGAATTGGAGTCATTCAGATCACTATGGTTTCRACCCTAAGGCGCTATTTGCTGTGAAGTATAACCGAGCTCCAGACTGTTTTTGGCTGCTGCGGAACAGCCAGAAGGAATCATATTCAAATTTAGGTGAATTTATGGTCAAACCAATGGGTTACGATGTACAAATACCAAAGATTGTATTGACATTCGGCCAGGGATATTATGAACTGTTACATAATATTACAGAATTTAAAGACCTACAGTTCAACGATTATGACATCAAGACAAGTAAAGAGAAATATCACTTGGAGAAATTGAAGGATTCTATTTGTAAGCATTGTAGTAAGTACTTGATCCTTCATTATGACCAATACTTTCACTTAAATGCCCCCCATCCATACGATGTTTATTAATGATTTAAAGCGTTTAGCATATCACTGGGCACATCAAGAAGTAGTTTAGTTGGCTTACCATATTGGTGCTTGTAATTCAGGGGAAGAAGAGCCTCCTTTAACACCTGGCCCTAGGTAGTAATGAAACGCTATACCACATAGGAACGGATATCAAAGATGGCTATAGGAAGAGTGCTTAGGGCGCAGTTTGTGCCCAGGTATATGCAGGATTGCGGCCGGCATGAACTATTCTCGATTAAAACACAGTTCTTGTTTGTTGCAGAAGAGCTATCACTTTCAACTCCAAGTACACCTACAACCATGGTAACCCCGGGAATTAATAAGACCCAAGAGATGACTCACAGTATCCAAATCAGTAGTATAGTGTCAACAACAACAACGTCTCCTACCAACACACGTGTCGTTTATCCAAAGGAGGAGCTGGAGAAAGGTAAGAGTTTTTTGTTTCACATTTTTGTGATGACATCGCTCGTACAAAGAGGAAGTGGTCTTACTCTGAATTCTCGCTTCTTTTACCAGATTATAGAGACTTCTTGGAGTTCAACATCAGTAAAATCAATCTTAATGACCAGAAAGAGATTGATGTGAGTATTTGCTAGACTTTAGTGATACGCACACATTCAAAAGGTACATTCAGAACCTTAATTTGATTCATTATGTCTATCGCTAATGTTGTTGTACTTCTAGGGGGTTATTAATTCTTTGACCCATCTCTATGTGAAAAGTCATTTACTTGAAGGAGACACTGAGCCTGCTAATGTAAGAAAATTACTCATATTAAAAGGGCTAATCAGGGGGGTATGCAACTCTTTAAACTGATGCTTATCACTATTTTATTATCTCTTTGGTGATGATTTATGTGATTCACACACCCTATCCATTGATTGGTTGTTCACACTGCAGCATAAACAGAAATAACCGAAAACCTTCCCTTATGTTTATGCTTCTTTTTCTGTTTGTGTCATAGTGTGAACTTAACTTTAAGAATCATAAACTAACGGAACATCTGCCTCACCTCCCCACCAGTGGAAAATTCCGGACTGTTTCCTTACATTAGTTATGCATACAATATATTATTAGTATGGTATTGTCTTTCAGAAGTCAATTGGATTCCATGTTCTTGATGTCTTGGAAAGCTTCTGTGTATCTGTAGGCACTGCCATGTCTTCTAACCAAACTTTACAGATGCATACAAACAATATGTGTAAGCATTTTAGTAACACATTTTATTGGATGGTGGGAATAATGTAAGAGAATAACTTAATATCCTGTAACTCTCAACCCACTCCATTTGCCTCTGAGTCAAGAATTCATCAGCAATTTCTAATAAAAGAGTTTTGAATAGCTCTATGTCATTCATTCAAAGATTGTGTGATGTGTACACTTGGCCAAACTTTGTACACATTTTTATGTGTGGGATTTYATARTATACAAAGTTCTTTCTGCCAATCTTCAATAACAGTACCCACCCTGCAGCCTAGATCCCCACTATTTATAGATGAAACCTAATGAATCCATTGCTCTCTCAGTCATAGGTATATCCACGGTWAATATAACTTCATTCCAAGAATTGACATTTGGACGTCTTTCAGAGACTAGTGGATTTCTTCATCTTCCACCTGTCATTTTTAAGGAACAAAAAGGTATTTACGAATGGTCTTATACTGAATGAGCTCCTTTATAAGAAAACATTGGAATATAATGTTATTGTAATAATAGTGATTCGGTGTTTTTAAATCACAGGCCATGGTGTTCTGGTAACAATGATAATTGACCCTATCCAACCTTTTCGTCAGGGAAAAATTCTTGATAGGTATGATAATAAAATATTGTATGTAGATATCAGTGGCTTGTTTAAYCAATGTTTAGCTTTTTCTTCTGAATTTGGTATTGTTAWTTTATCACCCATGTATTTATGTTAATCTGTTAGAAACATCAATGCRTCCCTTGCAGGCAAGATTATCAATGTGATAACAAGACCTCCACCAACAAAARGTCCTCTTGATCCTCCTGTAACGATTGGAATCCTACACAGCAAGGTAAGATATCTAGTACATGGATATATTTATGTAAAATACCTGTGGTTATTTGCATTGTGYAGTTCTATTTTCAGGGGGAGGGAAGGTTGTTATTGATCTGATCTTATAGTGTTGATAATGATGACAATGATGATAATCATTGTTATAGAAAATTGACTTCAGAAATGACGCCAAAGCAAGCTGTGTATTTTGGGACATTCAGAGAAGGTATGGTTTTATCTTATATGTCCTATCCTATACTACAAGAGCTACTGACTTCAAATCCTAGTATCCTATTGTTTAGTTGAGAGGTTCACGGTGAGAGGTTATRTCTTAAAGGAAAGCAAACAAAACTGACATGACAAACACTTACTTGTGCATTAGGGTTTAACTTCCTTTCAAAGTGATATTGGYTTTTCTAGTTTGGGAGTTACCACAAAAATGATTAGTTTCCTTTTRTATTTTAGGGGCTGGTCCAATGCAGGGTGTACTGTGACAGCTAGTAACGCCACTGTGACAATATGCCAATGTAATCACATGACACATTATGCAGTACTGCTGTCACTGGATGATCAAGTATGTAATTTCACCTTTATTTGTTGCAGTCAAATGGCTGGTTCAATGTAATTAAGTAACAATGTGCGCAAAAAGCAGACAACGTTCTATTGTTCTCCGGCAATTGCTTCCCCACGTACGAATGTCTTGGTTTTCACACTGATTATGCATCAACCTATGGGTAACACATTTTTAAAATACAATGTGAATAAACTCTGTTTTGAAACAAAGCTTTTATTGTATTAAAAGAACTTGTCCAATCATAAGCACTCAAAACAATAGCCAAAAAAGCTTTTATGAAGTCGGAATTAGATATTAAATAAAAGATTAAAAAATGTGCTTACTTTTGAAGCTATGTTAAATTTTAATGTTTTAACTGATGAGATGGATGGATTATACAATACAAAATTAGCACCTTCATGCATTCCATTGCCATTTGCTTGCCTGCTTCTTACTCGGATCATTACTTAATGTTGTTGAAATGTTGCCTAAACAGCTCATTGCACCATCCAAGACAACAATTGAGGGTGYAATAATATATATCTGTGAATAACTGTTTGAAATTGTGTGAAAGAAGATTTCTGTCATTGCATACTCACAGGTTCTKTTAAAGTGCTACTTGCATGAAAATGGTCTTATTTCAAAACTTCAAGCAATACAAATATATGACTCATATATATCTATTAAAAACAATTACGGGAAAATATTTGTTTTGGAATWATCCCACATCAGAGAAATTTTGATTCAAAAGATGGAAGAACAAAAGGATTGAGTAAATGACGTCATCTACTCCAACATTTTTTGCCTAAATTATTAAGGATTTGTATCAATATCTTCTTGAAATCTGTTGCTTCATGATTATTAGACCCATATGGATAGGTCTATTTGATTTCCAAGTCTTTTCGAATGTTACGCAATTTTCRTCCAAGTAGCCCTTTAATTGCTTTGATGCAAAAATATAGCTACCTTTTAAGATATTGCAAGGATCTGTGGAGAATATTTTTAAAACACATAACTCTTAGTGCAATAAACAAAGTGAGTACTTTAGGAAGTAAAAARGTTTGCTGTTTTTCTGTTTTTTAGGTGACACCAAAGATTCATTATGAAGCGATGACCATTATAACCTACATTGGATGCTCATTGTCTATTTCAGGCGTGTTCTTGACCCTTATTACTTTTCTGTGTTTACCGTAAGTACAACCAACCAATCAATCTACCAACTACCCAATCAACCAAACTACCCAATCAACCCACTAAACAGCCAACCAACCAAGCAAAACCACAGACCAACCAACTAACCTATCAACTCATCAACCAACCAACCAACCATCCAAACAAACCACAGACCAACCAACTAACCTATCAACTCACCAATCAATCAATCATCCATTCAACCAACCATCCAAACAAACCAAAGACCAACAACTAACCTATCAACTCGCCAATCAACCAACAGTCCAAGCAACCATCCAACCAAACCACTAAACGCCAGTCTCTCAATCAATCATCAATCATCGTTTAAAAATATACCAATCSTCAAACCATCCTATACACTAATCAATCACCAAACAATTCATTCGGTTAATCAATTCCTGTGATACGAAGACAATTAATCTACTTATATTTGTAGAGTACTGAAGTCAGAAAGAACAAGAATCCACTGCAATCTGTGCATTGCAATTGGTCTGTCACAAATACTTTTCCTTGCTGCAGGAAGTAAAGAACTTGTACAAAATACTGTATGTAAATATACAAGGGAATTACAATGAGAACTGATTRAGCATTTGCATCATCCACAATTAATATGTATTATTTTCTTCAATTTGATATTTTACAGGTAGCCTGTAAGCTGTATGCAGCATTCATGTTTTACTGTTTTATGGCAGTATTCACATGGATGCTTGTGGAAGGCATTCATCTCTACCAGATGGTTATCATTGCATTTGTTAATCGATCCATGATGAGATTTTACTATGCACTAGGGTGGGGTCAGTATATTGTTGATCTGTAGCTTAGTCTATTGAAAAGACAGCTGCAATACCAGGGAAATTAAGTTAATAACATTCTATMAGTGTTGAAGTTGTGGCATTTCCTGGTCCTTAGAGGCTGAAATTAAATACAGCGACAACCACAACAACAACAAACAGCAACAACAACAACAATAACAACAACAAGCAAAAATAAGAACAGATCATAGAGCACTAATTCCACATCAATAATACATAATTCCCAGGGCTTTGAGGGGCTGGGATTTCAATTGACTAATGACTATTAATTGATTTAATCATATTAATATCTGTTCATTTGCTTATTTTTKGTTAGGTTTACCAGTAGTCATTATCACCATTGCATCTGCAATAACACATGAGGGACTTGGAACCAGTCAGTTGTGAGTTAAGCTCGTTTGCAGGACTTCTATGTAAACATCTAAATCACCTGTTTATCATAATCACTTTGTTGTTGTAGCTGCTGGATTTCTATTCATGGAGGAGCCATTTATGCATTTGCAGCACCTGCTAGTATTATCATCATGGTAAGAACAGCAAAGCAAAAATATTGAATTGAATAGAATACTGTTACTTGATTGGATGGAAGGGAGCAGGAGATAGTAGGTTAAAAGGATTTGAATAGGATGAATGGAATTGAAGGAAATGTTCAAAATGATCACCAATTATAACCATTTCAGATAAACATGGTGGTCTTAGTTAGTGTCTTGAGACTGAGAGTGAAGTTGGATAAGTCCTCTGATATCCACAAAACTGTCAAGTAGGTGATTAATAGTTTGTCAATCAAAATACAGTTCACTAATTATAAAATGATTATTYTAGAATTGGTGCTCGTGTGTCAGTGGTACTRCTGCCATTGCTTGGTATGACTTGGCTGTTTGGTTTCTTCTCTGTGTTACCAGATGTTGGAGTTGTGTTCAAGTATCTTTTTGCTATAACAAACTCACTTCAGGTAAGAAATATTTTTCTATTTCTGAGATTCATTCAATTGTTATATTTATTTGTGGTTCTTTTTATTGTAGGGTTTCATGGTTTTTGTGTTTCATTGTGTTGGAAATTCTGAGGTACATCATATCTTTTTGCTATTCTGTGTGTTCTTTTTGCCTAGTGTTTATTCATCAAATCATTTTTTCAATGACAACAGACATACATACATGATTGCACATATCCATTTGTCCCATCCACATATCTATACAGAAGTTGTGCATTCATCCATTCACATATCCATTAATCAAGTCATCCRTGTTGTTGCTGATGAAAAGTTTCATTCATTTCAAGGTCCGCAAGGAATTCAACCGTAAAGCAGAGCATTGGCACCTTAATCGAAACATTTCAACTAACATGATTACAATGGTATCAAACAGAGTTACCCCTTCAGASTCTGATGTCACAGAAACTATTAACAAACAATGATATGATAATCAACTACGCCTTAATTATTGTCAAGTCTCAAGAGTTTAATGAAAGCAAAAATTACTGAGCCCTTCTGTTATTTATTAGGTTTGCTATGGTTTTCTCTAAGAAGAGAAATCAAAATTCTTAGTCTTAGGGCTTTGTAATGCCATTAAGGTATACTGCCCCCYTCTCCCTCCCCCTCCATCTCAATTTTTCTTACATTATATGAAAAATACCTGAGACTTATTCAGAGTGTGGACTGGGTGAACAAAATAAGTTGTAATAAAAAATATTGGTCGCATATATATTGTATGTTGTTCTGAATAGGATAGGACTGGGAGTAATAGGAAACCTTGCATGGACTATATAATGGTGGGAACTCGTGGTAAACTAGTGTGAGCTGCGTCAGTGTTTCTAAAGAACAGTTTTGTTAAAAAGATAAATTAAACACCGTAAAAAAGGATGTGAAATAACTTACTACTTATTTCACATACTTTTTTTACGGTGTTAAATTTATCTTTTTACACAACTGTTGCATGAACTATAGCCCACCAAAATGGCCAAAAATCATCAATTTTTGATCAAAATGCATGGACTGAGTTAGCCATATTTACTGAGTAAAATATGATTTAACTAGATTCAATAAAAAATCCAATAAAAAAAAAAAAAATGAAGTGAAGGACCTGGTCGACTGGCCATGATTCCCCAGGCCTAACCGAACRTCCAAGCACGTTCGACACGTCACATGGCATGCGTAAACAAATACAAAWAAATTCAAAAAGTTACCCTGTATTAATTAGGTATTTAATTAACAATAAAATACATTAAGTTTGTAAGTAATATATACAATATGAGTGGGCGATCTGTATGTAATATACAACTCTCTTCATGGGCTATGATTTCTATTGTGTTTTGCCTTATGAATATTAATGTTAATAAATTATCCTATCATATCTATTTCAGTGTGCTGCTTATAGTTGTTCATTTCATATTGATGTATAAGTTTGTCAATTTCTGACTGGAATGATATCGCAATTAATCCCAATAAAATGTAGTAAGAATAGCAGACGACTTACCCAAATAACATCTTTAGGACTTAAAATGAACTAGATGCCAGAGAAAAGAGTAAAAACAAAGAAGAGCATTGTTCTAAAATTGATTTTGTGATTACCTATGCATGTAAAGTGATGTGACGTTTTTCATTTTACACCCTAACCCTAACCCTAACCCTAACCCTAACCC